TGATAAAATTGACAGTCACACTGACGGATATGTTTTCTTAAATCTGTATTAGTTCTGTTAGTTCATTTTTCTGGATTGACCTTTAACCTAGAGACTTGTCAGAGATTTCTCTCCCTCTCTCTTGCTTTGCAAAATCTTTATGCTATGGAAAAAGTTTTGAAGCTGTCTAAACGCTTACACATTTTAACCTTCTAACTGTAGAAATATGTGTCATATTGATTTCTTTCCTTTACAAGCTATTCAATTATTATTATCACAGAATGGTAAAAAGTAATCTGTATAACTGTATTGCCATTATTATGGACATATATCTGTGGCATTTGCTGATCATCTGAATATAGAATTTGGTATGCCAAATTACTTATTTTTTATACAAAATCAGTAATAAATTTCACAAAAAAAATAATAATAATAATTTTGAGACAGTAATATGCGTATTGTGTAAATGTGTCAATGGTGTGAGCCTGTAGAACATTCTTTGCTAATCTGCAGTTCCATTTGATAAGCCCGCTGTAACCTCAAGAATCTACCTCTTGGAGTGGGAAATCTTTTAGTAGTATGTTTTGGCTCACACTAGCATTAAAATTTAAGCCATATGATTAAAAAATTCAATTTTGCTTAAGAAATTGTAATGGGAAAATATCAGGTATAATTCTCTTTTGTTTGGGCCCAAAAATTGATTTAATAAATGTTTAGCTATTCGGCTGAAACACATATTGTCCTAGGTTCTATATTAATATTTAAATATTTCAGACCCACTTGAATTAATTCTTGATTTATTCCCAGAAAGGTTTACATTTAAAACTGAAATGAATTGTAATATGATGTCTACAAAAGAGACAGTGCTTATGAAAGAAAAGAGAAAAAAGGGAGGAAAATTAATTTACTGTGATACCCTTAACAAAAAAAAAATGTGTTGAACAGACTGTTCAAGTCTGTAAGTTGTTTGGTATGTTAGCACTTTTCTGCCCTTTTTTTCAAAATCTGAAAAGATTTGTGTGTTGTGAATAGTTGTGAATGACAAAGAATTTTTGAGGGAATGTTGAAAAAGTAACATTGCAGAACATTTTCTGCATATTTTGGAAGTATGAAATTGTTTTAAAAAATTGTTAAAGTGAAAATAAATGTTATGCTGAAAATTTCTATATGAGTTGTGTTTATCACATGATTATAGATTTAGTTTTTTATTTATTTATTTATTTTTATTTTTCACTTTATATTTATTTATGGCACCATTTTGGGTTTAAGAAGGAAAAATTCCTCTCCAATTTTAACAAAAAACAAAAATGCTTTTATTAATTTTTGATACTGGCTTTTGTATGATTAAACTCTATGACCTTGGTATTTTATCTTAGCTTAAACAGAAAACTAATAAACAGCCATTAATCAGTGGGGATTAGAATGTTATGGATATTTTCTTCCTTCAAACTATTTTTAAACCAAGAACTCAGAAACAAATTGCAACACATGATAAGGAGCAAATTCATGTAGAAATCAAAATTTTCATATTGCTGTATTGTATTTAAGGTAGTTGCTGTGCATAAAATGGTTATGCTAATATTTTCTCCATTTCAAACTTTTTCACAAAGAAAAATTCAATATTTCTAATGCTCTTAAAGAGCAGAATTTTATATACCATTGGATGAAACATTCTAAAATTGAACAAGTTTTGATAGAGTGAAGAAATATTAACAAACATTTTTTCGGCACACATTTATCCTTTTTTCCCATGAAAAACATTAAACAATAATCTTTATATAAAACTCCTTTAAGTGTATTCCATGAAAATTTCAGTAAGCCTTATAAAGTGATTTAACAAAATGAAACACATTGCATTTCACTCCAAAGCTTTAGAGCACGTATTTCCAATGTGCAGTCTTCAGAATGCAATAATCTTTCATTTATCTTTTTATTTTAAAATGGTTATAATGAAAGTTACATGGACAAGGTTTTACTTGTAAAAACTTGCCCTTTTTTTGCAACCAGAATAGATAGGTAATAATGTAAATTATGAAAAAGCAGTTGAAAAGTAATAATTGAAATATTGAAATATGAAATATAGGTAGATACATGTAAACATATTTACTTTCTAAAACAATTTACTTTTCAATCAGCAATCAGCATAACAAAAGAGGCAATAAAAGAAAACTTTTTTCACTGCATAAAAAAAAAACACTTGTAAGGGATTGTATGTGCTAAGACGTGGAATATAAATATATAATTTGTCATCTCCCTCTCCCTTCTCAACCCCCTCCATCTTCCCAGCTCATCTCCCATTATATTTACTGAAGGCTAACATACCACTTTGAGTCCATCAGTTTAGAGGTAAACTTCTCCTTGCCCACTAATCCAGTAACACACTGGCTGGACCAAGGCTTTAATCTTGTGGTCAAGGCAGCCATAGGGCAGACAAAAATGTTATCAGGAGTTGCCCTCTACAACTTGGTTATTTTATGGTTAGTTTCTGGTCCTAAACCAATGCCGGATTATGTGATTACACCCCCGTTGTAGTGGTTACAAGGTAGTTGTAAACAAATTAGGGTGATATTATGATAAAGCTGAAAAGAGTGTGTTGAGATTTTAGTAAATAATGTTTGTGCATAGAGATGACACCAGGACTGCAGAATTCTTCCAGTGAAAAGGAAAATATGTCTTGGCCAATTTTAAATACTTCTACATTGTTCGAGGACACGCATCCTATTAAAATGCTTTAATTTCTGAGCTAAGAATAGGACTGTGTTGAATACTCTGAGATATGGGTCTAGAGACATCATTGTCTCTTCTGATAGGAGGCTGGTGTAATTATGATTTATACATATTTTCCAACCCAGATGTAGAACAGGGACAGACACTGAAGCAGTCTGAGGTTTTATTAATCTCCTGGGTGCTCTTAATTCTTGCATTAAAAAGAACAAAAAATTGCTTTAACATTGATCACTAAATTGTTTTATTTTGAATGTTGGCCTTACACTGTAATAGCAGTAAACCAGCATTTTGACAAAAAAAAAGTTTGAATAAGTCACTTTAAATGGCTCAAGCACCAAATCTTTTGTATCAAAATAAGTTTTGTTATTGATTATTGTTATTTTGTGACTTTAAAATTCATATTTAAACTTAATTTTGCTTTATAAAAATAATAATATGAATAAAATTTGAGGTCATGAGACAATAATAAATTTTATGGGGACCACAAATATTCAGAAAATGATCTGGAAATTCAGTTTGGATGTTTTGTAGAGATTAATTAATAAGTAAGTGTAATTATACTTATAAAAAAAAGAATGAAAAGAACAAATGAAATGACACATTTCATGGACTATCTGTTCCAATTACCGTTATGTTCTTGAAGTCATCTTTGAAGAACAGTACGTATCACTAATAAATAATATCCTAGTTAATTATTTAAGCCACTTAATATGTACACTGTCTGCATGACAGCAGAAAATTAAACAACTGACTTCATTATTATTTATTTACAATTAGTTTAATAAGACTTGATAAGAAAAAAACATCTCCAAGGAGGGCGTCTTGCTCTAAGCCTTTAACACATTAACTAACAATAAAAAATCCTCCTCTCCCTGCCAGCAGCAGGTTTCTGGGCTTATCACTTGACCTGACTGGAAGACTTGAAATGGATTGAGAAGATTTTGCTAAGATCCCCAACACCCAAACTTTAGCATTAGACCTTGAGTGCTCCTGTCACCAGTCATGTTATTTATGCTGTGAAGAAGTGTGCTCATACCTGAGAAGAGGTGGGAGCTGACACCTTTGACACATCAGCTGCGTTCAGACTGGTTTGAAACTAAAATGTTTTGGATCTTTTGAAGTATGTTTTATTGCTTGACCTGATTTTAAAAATCTATCAAACTCAAATAAACAATCAACTGTCGTCTTCAGTTCCAAAACAAAAGGTGTCTTTATTCAATTTTCAATCAGATTTAACAAATTGACAGTCAAAATAACAATTTTTCACATGTACCTTCTTCATTTTCTGCTGAGAAACTCTGGAAGGCAACCCTCACAAACCCCTACTAATGAATGCCATCACATCTTTTACGTTCAAATAGTTCAAGTTAAAATCAATGTTTTTACAAAAGAAAGATGGGGAAAACAGGATTTTTTAATAATACATAATATAACTTAAGGTCATTTAGTCTGGTCTGAAGTTTAAAAAGTTAAACACTTTTGTGTACATTTTACCATTCATAGCAAACAATATTTAACTGTGAATCAAAAATCTACTAGATAGTCATTTTTAGACCTCAGATAAATTGTTCAACACAAAACACCCAAACCATTAAAATATAAAGTTCGCATACCCCCCTTCTATGGTATATGTTAACTAATGCCTTGTGTGAATAGGCCATATGCTTGTTCCCAGACAGGGTGGATGGCATATGGATATCTGAACAGTTTAATCTGCTGACTTCTGGTATTTTAATAGTAAACAGTGACATCAAGAGAAAGATTGGAGAAACAAGCCCATCAAAAGGTAGTTTAGTATGCCCATTTATTTTTTGGGGTTCAGTATTTTTCTTACCTGTGTCAATTTAGGTAATCAAAGTGTCATAATGATTTTTTTTTTCTTTTGGTTAATGTTGTTTCTGTAAAGTTACAGATATGGAAAGATTTCTGAAAAATATATTGAAAACATCTCATTTATTTTTAGTTCATCATCAGTTTTTGGAAATAAGATTTTTGACAGTTTTTTTAAATAGTTTAAACCTAAACCCATAAATTTAGTTTTAATATATTTTGAAAAAATATCAACATAAATAAACCAGATGACTTGCATTTGCTGAGGAAAAAAAGAAAGAGAAAATGGTTCTATGAAGTTGTCAAACAGTGGGTTCAATTGGGAGATCATGATATCAACGAAAATAGCCAAAACAGTTTGTCAGCTTCTTTGCAAGCCATTCCTGAATTCTTTTTTAATTTACCTATAGTATATAACATAATATATTTTAAATATTTAACTTCAGTAATACTTGATATTTCAGACTGTCCTAGGGGCAGACAGTGCAGACCTGCATACAGTTGCCATCAGGCCACATGGTATATTTGGACCCAGGGACCCACACATGTTACCCACTACCATAGCCACAGCCAGGGCTGGGAAGATGAAGTTCATGATAGGGTGAGGCAAAATGGGGTGGGGGTGGGGGGTAGAGGACAGTGTGACCGTGGTCACACCAAGGATTGGAAANCTGTGGTCACACCAAGGATTGGGAAGAAGGAAGGGAGGGGTGCACTTAGAACACTCACACTGACTGGCAGACATTTTAGACAAATTAATATCCTAAAATGTAATCTTGTACTTTGCATATTATTAAATAATTGGAAACTTTAGAAATAAACATCATTTTATACTCTCATAAGTTGCATTCCCCACCAACGTGGACAATTAAGTTTCAGATTATAAGGCAGTTTGCACGTTTTAGTCACGTCAGTTTGCCATCAGAGGCAAAACATATCTACTAGTACAGGGAAGTTGAGAAATTGATAAGACTTAGGTGGATTTTTTTCCTAGATATTTACCTAAATGAGTTTGTATATTAACACCAATTTCTTGACAACAATGAACACAAGAAGAAAAAACCTTTGGGCTACATTGGTGCTTGTGGTATTAGACCATGTGAGTTCATTATCGAAATCAAACTAATCCAACATTAAGGTGTCTGGGGCAATGAGGGTTAATATTTTAAAAGTTTTGAAGCAAACAGCTTCTACATTTTCAAGTTGCGTGAACAAGGGAAAGGCTAGTTGACATGGTGATGGCCCAGTGCACAGTCACAACAATACTTGTTCATGAAAATTCTTCAGAAACATTTTTTTTTTGTCTTTCAAATTAAATTTTGAAATAAATGTACATGAGATTTAAATTTGCTTTTATCGAGACATGTTTTAATTCTTAATTGTTAATTGGACTCATTGTACTTATATTTATCACTGAAGAAAAGATACCTTATGAAGAAGAGCAGCAATGTTGTAAAGTAGACATCTTGAGACAGAATTTACCATAAATGTTTTGATTTCTGCATGGCTGCTTAGTTTGCCCTTTATTTTATCACTATCAAACTTTTACCTGTTAACACCTAAGAAGTGATTGTAAAAGCAAACACCATTATAATGATGATGCACACTAACACAATGTCAGCTACAGAAGTAATATTCAATCCTTATTGAATTGACAGGAATGGTAAGAACCTGGTGGACTTTACCTATGTAGAGAATGTGGTCCATGGTCACATCATTGCAGCAGAGAAGCTGGAGGCAGGGTCTCCAGTCTGTGGCAAGGTCAGTCTAAACCTTCTGGGTCAATCTCATGGCATGTTATTATATATATTTTAAGAAAAAGCAAATATTTCATCCAATTATCCTTAGCCTAGTGATTTTTTTCCCCAAGAATAATTCAAATTTATATATCCACTTGGGACTGGTTGTTTTTGTCCATGATATGCAAAGCCAATTATACATGGACTGTGTACCATCCATTAGAAAATAAACAGGACTGGGACTTCCAGATTTAATATGTCATAATCAAGTGTTCATTTAATGCAAGGCTGTTACATGCAAGATCTAATGCAACTATATAAAGTCAACAATGAAGGATGCATTGAACAGGTTCACTACATAATGGCAGATTTTTATCACCAGATTTTAATAGAAATCCTAAAATACCTGTTGTTTTATAATGTCCTTAACTTACCCTTACAGGCTTACAACATCACCAATGATGATCCCATCTATTTCTGGTCCTTCTTGTCCAGACTGTTGACTGGGCTTCAGTACGACACACCAAAGTACAGCATTCCATATACAGTGATATTTTTCATTGCGCTGCTAGTCCAGTTCTTCTGCTTCCTCCTGCGCCCCCTGGTGACCATCAGACCCACCTTCACGCCCATGAGAGTGGCACTGGCAGGAACATTTCACTACTACAGTTGTGATCGAGCCAAGAGAGACATGGGGTATGCACCAGTAGTGCCCTTGGACAAGGGGATAGAATTGACGATAAAGGCGTTTCCTCATCTTAAAAACTCTAGGACTTAGTGATTGCATTTAATAAATATGTATTCTCATCAAAGAAATTTAGTATCGATGACACAGTATTACATGGTAATTGAATTAACTATAAAAACTTTCTCATCTTATCAGAGATCTTGTGTTAGATTTAACTGTACTAAATATTTTACGACAGCAAATCATTTTGATGCAGTCATTTTTAATTTAATGCCAATCTCTCTAGACATTATGGTGTTCTTACAAGAAAATGTAACGTTAACTGTAATGGTATGCTTTGTTTGGCAAGGAATCTTTTTATTTTACTAATTTAATAAATAGTCTTCTTTTCCCTAAAGATCATGAATGAACAAAATAACTGCAGTGTGTATAAAAACTGCACTCAAATATAATTGAATGTCATCTCATTATATTCTAATACATATTTAAGTCATGAATATTTATACATCTGTAATTGTTACACAAACATTGTCCAAGATTCTACTTCCATGAATTTTAATAAATATACTGTTTGAAAAAGATTATTTACCTGAGCATTGGCAGTCATTTTTGAAAGCTTTGGCTAAAATGTCATTAACTTAATTCAGGTAAAACCTGTTGGGTGAAGTGGATAACAGTATCACTGTGTAGATAATTATGAACTTTAAATCATGAAAGATTTGATGAAAATATTTTTGCTATTCGCTTTGTCTCTTCTGCAGTGGGAAGAGGTCTGCTTTTTACTGATAAAGGCATCTTAGGCTTGTTGCCTGGTTTGGAAGACAGTCTGTTTACCAGTTCATTGGCAGCTTTTGCTTTTTGTTCTGTTCTGGTATCTTGAGGAGCCTTGAAAGAAAAAAAAAAAGTATGCTGATGTGATAGCCTACTAAAGTGCTGGTGTCTATAGCCTATAGGCTATTTAATCAAGCCAGAAAATAAGGTTTCAACCAATCTCCCTAATTAATGGTATTTTCAAAGTAACTTGTCCACTTTTTCTCTGTTAGATAAAAAAAGTTATTCCAAACAAAGTTAATTTTTATGACAGAAAAAAAAATTATTTTACTTGATCTATAATGTCCTGCCTCCTTGGTTCTGGTCTAGGATGGAGAGCAGTGGCCATCTGCAGTGCCCTCATGGAAGCCTCCAGGTCCTGGGCTGGCAGGAAGAAGTTTGGAACAGTGGATGCCTGGGATCTTGGATAACATGGGTCAAGGGAAATACTGCACTTTTTTTTTTTTAGAAAAAATACATTAAATAAGATAAAGATTAAAATAATATCTACAATATCATTGATGCATCTAAAAAAAACTTTTAAAGGTTTTTTTTCTAAATCAAGCAAAGGTTTTTAAAAGAATTGAGTATGAAAATTTCAGGATATTCAAATACTGGTTCATTTAGAGTTGTTCTAATAACTTGATAACTTGAAAGGATACAATTCCTGAGATCTTGGTGGTACGTTCTCCTTTAGATCTGCAGGTGCTCTAGATAAAGGTAGAACTTCTGTTTCGCTGCTGGAGTCCTGATCGCCATCTCTTTCAGAGAATCTAGGTCCTGTTTTTACAGGAGACTTGCCTTTCTCTTTATTAAGTCTATTACCAGTGTCCACATCTCTCATATACCTCTCCTCTTCTCTCTTGGTCAAGACAGGACCATGAGAGGTCAATTCACCACTGTGTTGGGCCTGTCTTGCATCAGATCTACCTAAAAGTGGCACTGTACGAGGTGAATAATGTTGCTGGCTGTCCAGGTCAGAAGAACATGGTGTTGGGGTCCCGCTCAGCCCTTTCTCTGGTGTGAAATTAACCTGGTGATCATATTCAGTATTTGTCATGAACACTGGACTAACTGGACTGGGTGTCTTCAGGGTGCTGCTGGATTGTGCTCCAGTCAACTCCTGTTGTTTGTGCTGAGATGGTGGTGGCAGGATGGGGCTGGGCGTGCTGGAGGCTGAGGTCTCCTTTCTGAATTCAGGCTGTCTGTGCCTGTCACCAGTTGGAACCACTGAGGGAGATTGTCTGTCTGAAGATGGGGGCGGGTTCGTGAAAAATGCCTCTATTTCTTGATCCTCTTCTTCAGATCTTTGAACTTCATCATGTAACAGATGTTGCCCAACAGAGGTCACTGGCGATGTCTTGTCAAGACGTGACTGTTCAGGAGCAATGGAAGCATCACTTAGCCAGCTATCCTTCTCACTAAACCTTTGAACTTTAGGAGGCCCTACTGGTTTGAACTCAGCTGGCTGTGGCAGTTTGCCTGTCCTTTCCTCTAGTCCCCAGCTAGAGATATCATTGAGAGGTTTTGGGACCACAAAACTTGTGTCCTCGTTTTCCACATCTTCTTCACCTTCTGAGGAACTTGGCCTCTGTTTCCATCCTGTTAAAATTTCATCATCATCATCACTATCATGTACTGAGAGAAGTGAAGAGGCAGGAGACATTGCTCTCAGTTGAACGTCTAAATCAGTCCTATCTGTAGGCTGTGCTGTATGTGGTCTTGGAGGTATGTCGTCGAATTGCAATTTTGTAACCACACTGCCTTCTCTTCCATTAACTGGGTCCTGAACTGTGTGTTTTAATTTGTCAGGTCTGGAGGGCTCCTCACCAGAAGTCTGTTTCTCAGGATTGTATGATGGAAACTTAGCTGCAAGCTTTGGAGACAAAAGAGCGTGTGGTCTTTGATCACCTTGAGATTCTTCACCTTTGCCTGAGCCAGGCCCAGTTTGAGGCATTTTGCTGCCAGAAAGTAGTCCAAGGCTCTCAACAGGTGTCACTTTACCTTCTCTTTCAAGATGAGGCCTGTCTGTACTTCCAAACATATCCTGCACAGTTTGGTGTACAATTCCAGCTACTGGATTGTGTGAGTTTTGTTTGTGTCTACCATGTCGTTCGGGCTGTGTCTGTGGTCTTTGTTGGTGCTGTTGTTGTTGTTGGTGTTGTTGTTGTTGTGATGTCAGTTCATCTGGCCATTTAGAACTTGCCAACTTGAACTGCAGTCTTCTTGTGATATCATCCAAATCACGCATATTGGACCTGGAACAATGTTGTAGAGGGTGAAAATGAGAGTGCACAACATTAAATACAAATAGTTTTCTGTAATGTTTTTCTGTCTTTATATAAAACCATTTATTCTTTGTATTTACACTCAGAAAAACTAAACAAGGGTGTGGATTTTCAATGTGAAAATGAAGTGAATTTAATGACTGATAACAACTATATCTCAAACATATGCAACAATCAATATACATTTCATCAAATACTTTACACTGACAGCTTGCATTCTGTGCCTTTGACCTATTGTAAATCACATGAGCTGAAGAACCCAGATTCACCAACCTGAGATTTGAGAAAAGGAAAGAACTGGATGAATTTCCCTGCTGAAGTGGCTCCCTCTCTGCTGCTGCCTGGTAATGATCCGGTGGTGCCACCTGGTGATGATGTGCTGGTGCTGCCCCCTGCTGGTGTAACTGTTCATGGTACTTTTTGACATTCTGATAGTGCTCTTCATGATGAGGTGGCAGAGGTGGCAGTGAGTGCTGCTCTTCAAGCCGTATCTGCTGTTCTGGGTACCAGGAGAGATGGGCAGGAAAACTTGGATAGGTGGCAGATGATGCATACATTCCTCCAAATGGTTTCTGGAACATGCAGAGACTGAATGTTTACTCTGTGACTGGCCTTTTATTTGCAACTTGCTTCAAAAGTTGGTGACATATTAGGCTTAACATTTTTACTGGTCCAGCCAAAGCCCATAACTAATACATCTACATAAAACTTCACAAAAACATTTATCATATATATTGATATTTTCAACAGAACAAAAAATGAGTAACAAAAGCAAAGATGATCAGAGATAACATAAGAAGCTGCTGAAGCATCACAGAGTTGTAAATAAACCAAAAATATTAACTCATAAAATGTATCAATGAACATATTCATAAACCAAATAATAATTATATATTTTAAACTTACACTGTCCATCAGGCATATAAGTTCATTAACAAACCGACATTTTTACCTTTGGTGTAGTATTCCCCTCTGGTGCAGACTTCTCTATGGGCTGGAGTATCTCCTGGGGAACCACACTAACTTTAATCTGGCCCTGGCACTGTCCACTGAAGTCCATGATGTTATACCAGCCACAAATCTGCTTCAGACCATGCAAGAGAGGGGACAGGTCCACAGATACAAACCCTAACACTCTGTCCACTAACTTATCTGAAATGTTTAGGGTTGGGGAAGTGATAACTGTATTTATCAAGGGTGTGCTGATATATTTACTTGTTAACATGTGCTGAATATGGGGATCATGAATTCTTTTTTCCTGCATTTCAAGCTAGAAATTGTTGCATGTTTATACAAGATGAGAGGCTATAATAATAATGCAATATAACAAATCAATAAAATTTTTAATGCAAAAGTCTATCTAAGGAAGATGCATGCCCATCTCCATCTCCCTTGAACATTCCTCTGTTGAATATTTCATACAAAGCCCAGGGACTAATTCGTCTTTTATCATACACAAACAAAAAACCTACCTGGTGACTGTGAAGCTGCCTTTGGTTTGTGCCACACCTTGAAGACCAGATGCTGAAGGACAAATATTGATCAGATCTAACTTTGATTTACCTATATTGAAAAACCATAAGTAGAAAATGCAAAAAAAAAAAAAGTGTATTTAGACTTATTGAAACTAGTCACGCATTTGGAACAAATTATTCCTTCAAACTTGAAAAAAAAAAATAAATCTAGAAAATTTAATCTAATTTTTGTTTCTATAGAAAATCAATCATTTCACTTAAACGGCTTATTTTAGGATGTCAATCATTTCAATTACCTTGCTCTCTCCATACAGCAGGTCTTTGCTGAGCCTGGTATCATGCTGATGCTCCCACAGTGGGCAGTCTGTACTGGGGACTACATTAGTATGGGATGGGACGGTTTTCTCTGCAGTCTGGTAGGCTACGTAGCTGTTTGGTGGACCTGTTTCATGGCTGGGAGAGGAAACAAATATGATGAAGATGGATAAAATTCTGATAATTGTTCCCATTTATGTTAACTGGTAAACCATGTAGTATTTAGTCAGTGTTGCCTCATGCTGTATCATAGAAACTAGAAATCCCCACCCTATTTCTTATTATTTAACTCCTGTCAAAATTTTTCTTTATTTAGTTTATTTTGAACAAAAAAATTAACTTTTAAGCTCCAAATTTGACTTTATCTGGGGGGGCACACAGGGAAGAGCCATAATAATCAAAGTTACCAATATCAACTCACAAAGGTAGGCTAACTGGGAGACCACCTTTTACTTATTCTAATAAATGATCCATATAGAATTCCCAAACAACATCTATCTGTCTCCTACCTGTGCTTGTCTGTGACAACAGGTAAATGTAAAGCCCTCTCAATACTGATATGTGCTGCAAAACTGTGCTTGTCTGGAGGAATGATATCTTCTTCTTCATCTTTGTACTTTTGCTTTTTGTGTGCTCCACCTTCCTTTTCCTTACCATGTCTGGATCTGGGTAACATTTCTACGTCAGAGTTTTCATCGCTGCTGGCAAATGTCACCTCTTCTTCTGATTCCTGGCAATTTAAGAAAGAAAATCAATATTAACTGTGTATTGATCTGCTGCTATTATAAAAGATGTATACAATACTGCACATGAAATAACAATATACTTTTTTCTCATTCTGAAGATTAACCTTTCAAGAAAAGAGAAAACAAGGGCTTTTCTTAAGAAATACTGCAAACTCACTGAGAAGCCCTTTAAGTAACAGGTAAACTAATAACTAATACTCTATGTATCTAGTGCAGTCTAGATATCTATGTAACTAATACAGTTTAGTACTATACATATTTAGTGCAGTCTAGTGTTCTGTCCCTGTGTACCTGTTCCATTCTTCCAAATGCTGGTTTCAGAGTGACATGTGCCCTGAGGAAAGCACCCCCCAGACTGGACACCCCTGGCTTGAACAGGGGGTACATGCCACTGGAAATACACAACAAGATATGTGAACTTTATCCAAGAACTGAACATAAACTGCCAATGATGGATAATGATGGATTACAGTAACAGTTACTATTATCTTTATTTTCTAGCAAATGTACAAATATGCAGGTAAACAAATTCTTGCTTCCTTAGCTGTCAATAAAAGTAACACACATCTTTTTGTTTGTTTTTCACCAACTATCCAACATACTTTCATAACAATCTGGGCTTACTTGAAAAATGGAAACAAAATATATTAGCACATTCATATTCCATAATCAAGAGAAAAAAACACCCTTTCAGTCTGTATATACTCAATCTGTTAGTATATACCTACCTAACCCTATGTTGTCTTCTCCTCCTGTCTGTTAGACTCTCCAGGTCTATGTAAGCACAGCCTATAAGTTTGTCCCTGTGCCGTGGCTTGGCTCTCTCTCCCTCCTTACCACTGTAGCTCACCCATAACTGAACTTCAAGTTTCTCTTCCTTCAAATACCTGGAATTGTGCAAATCTAGAGGTGAGTGGATTTCTCATATAATGCATAAAACTCCTTGCATTCATTTTACTCACATCAGCCTTACTTCCAAGAATTCTAAAAAATAAAAGTCCTCAAAATCTTTTTCCTCTAAGCCACACAGAAACATTTAATGCATATTGGGAACAAAATAATTCTAAAAATCAATTCAAACACTAAGAATGTAGATACATCATATTTAATTTACTGGTTTTGCAGTCAGGCATATAGTTGATGTCTCCGGAGGGATGCTCACCATAAGAAAGGTGCAGATCTACTGATGTTCAAGTTATGTTGATGGTTTACCGCAGATACTATATAACCTTCTTCATGCACTGTCAGTGGAGATAGCCTGGACAGGGTAGCAGCTGGAATATATACCACAAAGGTGCATTAAGATTTTTATTACTTTTATCTCAATTACAGTGTAGTTAAAAAACAAAAATTCAGCTGTAGAAACAAAGTAACAAACAGACATTTCAAAATTTTCTGAATTTTCTGTAAACAAAAATGTCACATCCTTCACCATTAAAAGGTACTTAAACTACACAAATTTCAATTAGAAATATTCACATGGAAGTTTCTCTCACCTTTGTCAAAGAACTTGTACCTGACATAGCACCTGGCATTCTTGTCCAGTTTAGTTTGTCCAGCTATGAGAGCATTGGTCAGTGGGAAAGCCCCCATGTCCACATGGACAGTTACATGGTTTATGCCGTCTGAACTTTCATCTGTAATTTCAAATGAAATTCAACATAAGAACTAAAACCATCTAACATACTAATATGTTTTTTGTTCACTGAGTCATACAAGATTCCTAAGCCTCATACTGGATTTTCATCAAAATAATAATAAAAGTTGCACTGTTAAGTGATCATTTAAACTAAAATGAACACAAAGAGTGCCAAGTTATAAGTAGTACATAAGATGGCCTTGTCTATCATTTTATCTTACCAAGCTGTCATTTTCTTCAACTTTCAACCTTTATCATGACATCCCATTACCTGCACTTTCCCAGTCATCCTCCAGGTCATACTCAGGAGCCCAACCCACTCCTCTGGCAGCATGGATCACTCTACCACGGTCGTCATGGTGAGCAAACCTGAGTGACACCTCAAGTCCACCAACCACACGCTCTAGTCCTTTGTTTCCATGGTGAGGGGAGGAATCATCTGCCTGTACTTCATCTTTTCCAGCCTTTTTTGCCCAGCCCAGGGATGGGAGGTGGACAGGGTACCAGCCATGGAGACCTGATCAAAACAAAAAAGCCTTGCGTTTTTAATGTATGTATACATCAATCATACAATATTTAAAGCAAGATATTAATATTGTGAAGTCATGTCTTGTATAATAAAGTTTGAGTTAATTCATTACAATATTTAGGACTGAGGGTATCTGATGGTATTGAAACAACAGAATTTAAATATCTTTTAAGAACAAGAATTGTTACAGAAACTTAATATTACCAGTTTTATGAGTAAGAAGATAGAGCAGTGGTATAGTTGTTGTCCCCAGTAATACATCTCCAGTCTTTGTGAACAGTTTTCTACCAGTTACTTCTGCTGATCCCGTGTATACATACTGACCATCTAAGTCTGAAAGAGAAGTCAAAGAGAAAATGTATGAGATACTTTCAAATATTTTTTTCACCATTCTTTGACCAAATTTGGGCATTCTATATCAACTACATCAAATGAATCACTGACTGTTATATTCAAGTATACTCGTTTTTCAAGAAGTGAATGTAATGGTCAAATCTGACTAAAAACATGAAGGCGAGAGACTTGTGAAGAGGAGAAATCATCATCCAAAAACAACAGACAGCATTCCACTCCCCATTACCAGGAGACAGCCCAGGTACTTGATGCCACATCTCAAAGGTGACCTCTGCTGTCTCCAGTATCTCAGCCAGGCAGAGGGCGTCACTGTCTTCCTCTGTCCACAGCAGAGGACATGGGAAGTCCATGAAGTAGGAGAACTCTGGAGCAAATGTCCTGGCTACAGTCCTGGTGATGCGCTCATCCTGGGGTACAAGGAGTGAGAAGGTTTTGATACAGGATTAGATACACAAATAATGGTTCTTTACTCAATGAACAGAATTCAAGAATCTTTGACATGCAATTACTTAAACAGCACCCAAAATCCCCAACTTGAAATGACAGAAACTATCCCAGGAAAAGATTTATAACTTCACCTCTGCATTCTGTTCCATCAATTACTTTTTCAACATATTTTTCCTTTTATTTTTTGTACTTTAAATGTTTTTCTTAGTGTTAGAATGCAAGAAAGTTTCAAGAAATGCTATCATTATAAACATTTAAGTGATGCTGCTGATTTGATTATTATCAATAAACATAATTTTTCTACCTACTTGTTTTGATAGGAAGGACAGCCTGGTTCTGACATATGCATTAACCCCTACTTCAGCTGGATACTGCATTCCATCATCATGTCTGGCTACAGCCACTGCAGCAGCCTATAAGATATACATGTAAAAATAAGGCTTATTTTCTGAAATAGACTAACTCTTACTTCAGCTGGGTACTGTATTCCAGCATCATTTCTAACTATAGTCACAGCAACAGCCTTTGAGAGACCTGTTGTCATTTCTTAATTGACATGACTTAACTGTGCCTTAATAATCAACTGTCAGTCAAATTCAGTACTGGCCAATCGTATGTACAGTAGTTCTTCATGCTGTAGTTTGACTGGGGAACTCTCTTACACTGAACATTTCTGCTATATATAAAGTCCATTATTACATCAGAGATATCATATTACACACACACACACACACACACACACACACACACGCATGCATGCAAGCATGCACACACATATCACTGTTTATGAAATTGACTTCATTGGCACATTTGTAACCTTAATATAAAGTATGTAAATGTGCCCTAACCTTCAGTCCTGATGCCCTGACAATGCCCACAGAGATGCAGACTTGAGCTGAAGCCACAGCATGACTGGCTGTGCCATATTTCTCCTCTGGGGAAGCCTGTAAGAGGCACAATGTACAGTCAAGTCTAAAATGTTAGCTATAAACAACACTTGCATGATGGATATTACTACAAAATCACTGAGTTTACAATCAGTGGGATTAAGAGTTGTAAATTTAGACTGTGATGTTGTCTACATATTTTTTTTAACTCACTTTTAAAATGTTGTTGATTATATGACAAGTTACCTTCAGTGTGTTGGTTTTGTAATGAACAGTCACTTCTAGTAACCCAGCTTCTTTTAACTGAAAGAAAAGATAATAACCCTTACGTACAACCAAGAAAATTGACTTCACAAACCTTTTTTTTTAATAATTCAAAATCTCTTTTCTTACAAATGGGAAACAGAGCTAAGAGACAAAATAATAATGATATCATCATGTCACAGTGTTCTACCCCAGTGACATACCTTTGCCCTCTCCTCAGGTCCAAGGTTGTCCGAGTCTCCAGNTCGTAGACGTTTTAATTCTTAATTGTTAATTAGACTCGTGGTACTTATATTTATCATTGAAGAAAAGATACCTTATGAAGAACAGCAGCAATGTTGTAAAGTAGACATCTTGAGACAGAATTCACAGTATATGTTTTTGATTTCTGCATGGCTGCTTAGACTGGGTTCCCATACATACTAGTAGCCATCAGGGATCGATCTAACTCCCTGGGGAGTCTCACTAAATTGTTATCAACTAACTGGCTTAAATGTCTGTCACGCCAACCAAATCAGCTAGGGGGTAAGGATAATTATCTCCTAACCACTTTACTAGGCGTGACAGACATTTAAGTCGGCCAAGTTGACAGCAATTTAGTGAGATCCCCAGGGAGATGGATCAATCCAAATATCTGTGGGAATGGTCCCTTAGTTTGCCCTTTATTCTATCACTATCAAACTTTAACCTGCTAACACCTAAGAAGTGATTGTAAAAGCAAACGCCATTATGATGATAATGATGATGCACACTAACACAATATCAGTTACAGAAGCAATGTTCAATCTTTTTTGAATTGACAGGAATGGTAAGAACCTGGTGGACTTTACCTATGTAGAGAATGTGGTTCATGGTCACATCATTGCAGCAGAGAAGCTGGAGGCAGGATCTCCAGTCTGTGGCAAGGTCAGTCTAACCATTCTGGGTCAATCTCATGGCGCACTACTACATATATATTTTAAGAAAAGGCAAATGTTTCATCCAATTATCTTTTGCCCAATGTTTTTTTCCAAGAATAATTCAAATTTATATAGAGTTGGGACTAGCTGTTTTTGTCCAAAGTCAATTATACATGGACTGTATACCATTCTTCAGAGAATAAACAGGACTGGGACTTCCAGATTTAATATGTCATAATTAAGTGTTCATTTAATGCAAGGCTGTTACATGCAAGGTCTAATGTAACTATATATAGTCATCAATAAAGCAAGCAATGAACAGGTTCACTACCTTTTGGACTGTAGTGAATGCAGATTTTTATCACCAGATTTTAACCATCGGAATAGAAATCCTAAAATGCCTGTTGCTTTACCATGTCTTTAACTTACCCTTCACAGGCTTACAACATCACCAATGATGAGCCCATCTATTTCTGGTCCTTCTTGTCCAGACTGTTGACTGGACTTCAGTATGACACACCAAAGTACAGCATTCCATACACAGTGATATTCTTCATTGCACTGCTAGTCCAGTTCTTCTGCTTCCTCCTGCGCCCCCTGGTGACCATCAAACCCACCTTCACGCCCATGAGAGTGGCACTGGCAGGAACATTTCACTACTACAGTTGTGATAGAGCCAAGAGAGACATGGGGTACGCACCAGTAGTGCCCTTGGGCAAGGGGATAGAATTGACAATAAAGGCGTTTCCTCATCTTAAAAACTCTAGGACTTAGTGATTGCATTTAATTAATATGTATTCTCATCAAAGAAATTTAGTATCGATGACACAGTATTACATGGTAATTGAATTAACTATAAAAACTTTCTTATCTTATCAGAGATCTTGTGTTAGATTTAACTGTACTAAATATTTTACGACAGCAAATCATTTTGATGCAGTCATTTTTAATTTAATGCCAATCTCTCTAGACATTATGGTGTTCTTACAAGAAAATGTAACGTTAACTGTAATGGTATGCTTTGTTTGGCAAGGAATCTTTTTATTTTATTAATTTAATAAATAGTCTTCTTTTCCCTAAAGATCATGAATGAACAAAATAACTGCAGTGTGTATAAAAACTGCACTCAAATATAATTGAATGTCATCTCATTACATTCTCATACATATTTAAGTCAATGTAAATCATGAATATTTATACATCTGTAATTGTTACACAAACATTGTCCAAGATTCTACTTCCATGAATTTTAATAAATATACTGTTTGAAAAAGATTATTTACCTGAGCATTGGCAGTCATTTTTGAAAGCTTTGGCTAAAATGTCATTAACTTAATTCAGGTAAAACCTGTTGGGTGAAGTGGATAACAGTATCACTGTGTAGATAATTATGAACTTTAAATCATGAAAGATTTGATGAAAATATTTTTGCTATTCGCTTTGTCTCTTCTGCAGTGGGAAGAGGTCTGCTTTTTACTGATAAAGGCATCTTAGGCTTGTTGCCTGGTTTGGAAGACAGTCTGTTTACCAGTTCATTGGCAGCTTTTGCTTTTTGTTCTGTTCTGGGATCTTGAGGAGCCTTGAAAGAAAAAAAAAAGGATGCTGACGTGATAGCCTACTAAAGTGCTGGTGTCTATAGACTATAGGCTATTTAATCAAGCCAGAAAATAAGGTTTCAACCAATCTCCCTAATTAATGGTATTTTCAAAGTAACGTGTCCACTTTTTCTCTACTAGTTAGAAAAAGTTATTCCAAACAAAGTTAATTTTTATGAAAGAAAACATTTGTTTACTTGATCTATAATGTCCTGCCTCCTTGGTTCTGGTCTAGGATGGAGAGCAGTGGCCATCTGCAGTGCCCTCATGGAAGCCTCCAGGTCCTGGGCTGGCAGGAAGAAGTTTGGAACGGTGGCTGCCTGGGATCTATGATAATATGAGTCAAGGGAAATACTGCACAATTTTTTTGGAGAAAAAATACATTAAATAAGATTTATTTGAAGATTATAATAATATCAAGAGTATCACTGATGCATCACTGACTTAAGTTTTTTCTAAATCAAGTGAAAGTTTTCAAAAGAATTTGGTACAGAAAATAACAGGATATTAAAAAATTGGTTCATTTAGAGTGATTTAATAACATGAAAGGATACAATTCCTGATATCTTGGTGGTATGTTCTCCTTTAGATCTGCAGGTGCTCTAGATAAAGGTAGAACTTCCGTTTCACTGCTGGAGTCTTGATCCTGATCTCTTTCAGAGAATCTAGGTTCTGCTTTTACAGGAGACTTGCCTTTCTCTTTATTAAGTCTATTATCAGTGTCCACATCTCTCATATACCTCTCCTCTCCTCTCTTGGTCAAGACAGGACCATGAGAGGTCAATTCACCACTGTGTTGGGCCTGTCTTACATCAGATCTACCTAAAGGTGGCACTGTACGAGGTGAATAATGTTGCTGGCTGTCCAGGTCAGAGGAACATGGTGTTGGGGTCCCGCTAAGTCCTTTCTCTGGTGTGAAATGAACCTGGTGATCATATTCAGTATTTGTCATGAACACTGGACTAACTGGACTGGGTGTCCTCAGGGTGCTGCTGGACTGTGCTCCAGTCAACTCCTGTTGTTTGTGATGAGATGGTGGTGGCAGGATGGGGCTGGGCGTGTTGGAGGCTGAGGTCTCCTCTCTGGATTCAACCTGTCTGTGCCTGTCACCAGTTGGAACCACTGAGGGAGAGTGCCTGTCTGAAGGTGGGGGCGGGTTCGTGAAAAATGCCTCTATTTCTTGATCCTCTTCTTCAGATCTTTGAACTTCATCATGTAACAGATGTTGGCCAACAGAGGTCACTGGCGATGTCTTGTCAAGACGTGACTGTTCAGGAGCAATGGAAGCATCACTTAGCCAGCTATCCTTCTCACTAAACCTTTGAACTTTAGGAGGCCCTACTGGTTTGAACTCAGCTGGCTGTGGCAGTTTGCCTGTCCTTTCCTCTAGTCCCCAGCTAGAGATATCATTGAGAGGTTTAGGGACCACAAAACTTGTGTCCTCATTTTCCACATCTTCTTCACCTTCTGAGGAACTTGGCCTCTGTTTCCATCCTGTCAAAATTTCATCATCATCATCACTATCATGTACTGAGAGAAGTGAAGAGGCAGGAGACATTGCTCTCAGTTGAACGTCTAAATCAGTCCTATCTGTAGGCTGTGCTTTATGTGGTCTTGGAGGTATGTCGTCGAATTGCAATTTTGTAACCACACTGCCTTCTCTTCCATTAACTGGGTCCTGAACTGTGTGTTTTAATTTGTCAGGTCTGGAGGGCTCCTCACCAGAAGTCTGTTTCTCAGGATTGTATGATGGAAACTTAGCTGCAAGCTTTGGAGACAAAAGAGCGTGTGGTCTTTGATCACCTTGAGATTCTTCACCTTTGCCTGAGCCAGGCCCAGTTTGAGGCATTTTGCTGCCAGAAAGTAGTCCAAGGCTCTCAACAGGTGTCACTTCACCTTCTCTTTCAAGATGGGGCCTGTCTGTACTTCCAAACATATCCTGCACAGTTTGGTGTACAATTCCAGCTACTGGATTGTGTGAGTTTTGTTTGTGTCTACCATGTCGTTCGGGTTGTGTCTGTGGTCTTTGTTGTTGCTGTTGTTGTTGTTGTTGTGATGTCAGCTCATCTGGCCATTTAGAACTTGCCAACTTGAACTGCAGTCTTCTTGTGATATCATCCAAATCACGCATATTGGACCTGGAACAATGTTGTTGAGGGTGAAAATGAGTGTGCACAATATTAAATACAAATAGTTTTCCTTATTGTTTTTCTGTCTTACTTACAATTAAACCATTTATTCTTTGTATTTACACTCAGAAAAACTAAACAAGGGTGTGGATTTTCAATGTGAAAATGAAGTGAATTTAATGACTGATAACAACTATATCTCAAACATATGCAACAATCAATATACATTTCATCAAATACTTTGCACTGACAGCTTGCATTCTGTGCCTTTGACCTATTGTAAATCACATGAGCTGAGGAACCCAGATTCACCAACCTGAGATTTGAGAAAAGGAAAGAACTGGAAGAATTTCCCTGCTGGAGTGGCTCCCTCTCTGCTGCTGCCTGGTAATGATCCTGTGGTGCCACCTGGTGATGTGCTGGTGGTGCCGCCTGGTGATGTGCTGGTGCTGCCCCCTGCTGGTGCAATTGTTCGTGGTACTTTTTGACATTTTGATAGTGCTCTTCATGATGGGGTGGCAGAGGTGGCAGTGAGTGATGGTCTTCAAGCCGTATCTGTTGTTCTGGGTACCAGGAGAGATGGGCAGGAAAACTTGGATAGGTGGCAGATGATGCATACATTCCTCCAAATGGCTTCTGGAACATGCAGAGACTGAATGTTTACTCAGTGACTGGCCTTTCATTTGCAACTTGCTTCAAAAGTTAGTGACATATTAGGCTTAACATTTTTACTGGTCCAGCCAAAGCTGATAACTAATACTTCTACATAAAACTTCACAAAAAACGTTATCATATATTGAGATTTGCAACAGAAAAAATAAAATGAGTTACAAAAGCAAAGATGATCAGAGACAACATAAGAAGCCGCTGAAGCAACATAGAGTTGCAAATAAACCAAACAGATTAAGTCATAAAATGTATCAATGAACATATCCATAAACCAAATAAAATTATACATTTAAATTTACGAATGTCCATCAGACATAAGTTCATAAACTAACCACCAATTTTTACCTTTGGTGTAGTCTTCTCCTCTGGTGCAGACTTCTCTATGGGCTGGAGTATCTCCTGGGGAACCACGCTGACTTTAATCTGGCCCTGGCACTGTCCACTGAAGTCCATGATGTTATACCAGCCACAGATCTGCTTCAAGCCATGCAGGAGAGGAGACAGGTCCACAGATACAAACCCTAGCACTCTGTCCACTGACTTATCTGAAATGTTTAGGGTTGGGGAAGTGATAACTGTATTTATCAAGGGTGTGCTGATATATTTACTTGTTTACATGTGCTGAATATGGGGATCATGAATTCTTTTTTCCTGCATTTCAAGCTAAGAAATTGTTGCATGTTTATGCAAGATGAGAGGTTATAATAATAATGTAATATAACAAATCAATAAAATTTTTAATGCAAAAGTCTACCTAAGGAAGATGCATGCCCATCTCCCTTGAACATTCCTCTGTTGAATATTTCATACAAAGCTCAGGGACTAATATGTCTTTTAAGATACACAAACAAAAAACCTACCTGGTGACTGTGAAGCTGCCTTTGGTTTGTGCCACACCTTGAAGACCAGATGCTGAAGGACAAATATTGATCAGATATAACTTTGATTTACCTATACTGAAAAGCCATAAGTAGAAAATGCAAAAAAAAGTATATTTAGACTTATTGAAACTTGACACGCATTTGGAACAAATTAGTCCTTCAAACTTGAAAAAAAAAGTAAATCTAGAAAATTTAATCTAATTTTTGATTCTATAGAAAATCAATTATTTCACTTAAACAGCTTATTTAAGGCTGTCAATCATTTCAATTACCTTGCTCTCTCCATACAGCAGGTCTTTGCTGAGCCTGGTATCATGCTGATGCTCCCACAGTGGGCAGCCTGTACTGGGGACTACGTTAGTATGGGATGGGACGGTTTTCTCTGCAGTCTGGTAGGCGACGTAGCTGTTTGGTGGACCTGTTTCATGGCTGGGAGAGAAAACAAATATAAAGAAGATTGATAAAATTCTGAAAATTGTTTCTCTTAATATTAACTGGTAAACCATGTAGTATTTAGTCAGTGTTGCCTCATGCTGTATCATAGAAACTAGAAATCCCCACCCTATTTCTTATCATTTAACTCCTGTCAAAATTTTTCTTTATTTAGTTTATTTTGAACAAAAAAAATTAACTTTTAAGCTCCATATTTGACTTTATCTGGGGGGCACACAGGGAAGAGCCATAATAATCAAAGTTACCAATATCAACTCACAAAGGTAGGCTAACTGGGAGACCACCTTTTACTTATTCTAATAAATGATCCATAAAGAATTCCCAAACAACATCTATCTGTCTCCTACCTGTGCTTGTCTGTGACTACAGGTAAATGTAAAGCCCTCTCAATACTGATATGTGCTGCAAAACTGTGCTTGTCTGGAGGAATGATATCTTCTTCTTCATCTTTGTACTTTTGCTTTTTGTGTGCTCCACCTTCCTTTTCCTTACCATGTCTGGATCTGGGTAACATTTCTACGTCAGAGTTTTCATCGCTGCTGGCAAATGTCACCTCTTCTTCTGATTCCTGAGAATTTAAGAAAGAAAAATAGTATTAACTGTGTATTGATCTGCTGCTATTATAAAATATGTATACAATACTGCACATGAAATGACAATTATACTTTTTTCTCATTCTGAAGATTAACTTTCAAGAAAAGAGAGAACAAGGGCTTTTTTTAAAGAAATACTGCAAACTCTTGAGAAGTCCTTTGTGTAACAGGTATAAAACCAATAACTGATACTATGTATCTAGTGCAAACTCTATGTTACCAGTACAGTTTAGTACTCTATGTATCTAGTACAGTCTAGTGCTCTGTCCCTGTGTACCTGTTCCATTCTTCCAAATGCTGGTTTCAGAGTGACATGTGCCCTGAGGAAAGCACCCCCCAGACTGGACACCCCTGGCTTGAACAGGGGGTACATGCCGCTGGAAATACACAACAAGATATGTGAACTTTATCCAAGAACTAAACATATACTGCCACTGAGTGATTACAGTGATAGTTATCTTTATTTACTAGGAAATGCACATATACACAGGCCAAAATTCTTGCTTCCTTAGCTGTCAATAAGAGAAAGTAAATCTTTTTGTTTGTTTTTTAACAACTGTCCAACATACTTTCAGAACAATGGATACAAAATATATTAGTACATTCATATTCCATAATCAAGAGAAAAACACACCCTTTCAGTCTGTATATACTGAATCTGTTAGTATACACCTACCTAACCCTATGTTGTCTTCTCCTCCTGTCTGCTAGACTCTCCAGGTCTATATAAGCACAGCCTATAAGTTTGTCCCTGTGGCGTGGCTTGGCCCTCTCTCCATCCTTACCACTGTAGCTCACCCATAACTGAACTTCAAGTCTCTCTTCCTTCAAATACCTGGAATAAGCACGCCAAGACATAACTCCTTGCATTCAGTTCACTGATATCAGCCTTAATTCCAAGAATTCTAAAAAAAATAAAAGTCCTCAAAATCTGTTTTTTTTTTTCCTAAGCCACACAGAAACATTTTTATGCACAATGGAAACAAAATAGTTTTAAAAAATCATTTCAAACACTAAGAGTCTAGACACATATTTAATGTACTAGTTTTGCAGTTAGGTATATAGTTAATGTCTCTGGAAGGAAGCTCACCATAGGAAAGGTGCAGATCTACTGATGTTCAGGTTATGTTGATGGTTTACTGCAGATACTATGTAACCTTCTTCATGCACTGTCAGTGGAGATAACCTGGACAGGGTAGCAGCTGGAATACATACCACAAAGGTGCATTAATATTTTTATTACCTTTTATATGAAATACATTGTAGTTAAAAAACAAAATTTCAGCTGTAGTAACATAGTAACAAACACACATTTCAAAATTTTCTGAACTTTCTGTAAACAAAAATGTCACGTCCTTCACCATTAACAGGTGCTTATAATACACAAATTTCAATTAGAAATATTCATATGGAAGTTTTTCTCACCTTTGTCAAAGAACTTGTACCTGACATAGCACCTGGCATTCTTGTCCAGTTTAGTTTGTCCAGCTATGAGGGCATTGGTCAGTGGGAAAGCTCCCATGTCCAAATGGACAGTTACATGGTTTATGCTGTCTGAACTTTCATCTGCATTTTCAAATGAAATTCAACATAAGAACTAAAACCATCTAACATACTAACACAATATTGGTTCAGAGTCATACATAGCAAGATTCCTAAACCTCATTAGATTCTCGATATTCATAAAAATTAAAAGGTGCACTGTTAAATGATCATTTTAACTAAAATAAACACAAAGAGTGCCAAGTTATAAGTTGTATATAAGATGACCTTTTTTTATTATTTTATCTTTAATATCCAGCAGGCATCCCATTACCTGCACTTTCCCAGTCATCCTCCAGGTCATACTCAGGAGCCCAACCCACTCCTCTGGCAGCATGGATCACTCTACCACGGTCATCATGGTGAGCAAACCTGAGTGACACCTCAAGTCCACCAACCACACGCTCTAGCCCTTTGTTTCCATGGTGAGGGGAGGAATCATCTGCCTGTACTTCATCTTTTCCAGCCTTTTTTGCCCAGCCCAGGGATGGGAGGTGGACAGGGTACCAGCCATGGAGACCTGATCAAAACAAAAAAGCCTTGCGTTTTTTAATATATGTATACATCAATCATACAATATTTAAAGCAAGATATTAATATTGTGAAGTCATGTATTGTATTATAAAGTTTGAGTTAAATCATTACAATATTTAGGACTGAGGGTATCTGATGCTATTGAAACAACAGAATTTAAACATCTTTTAAGAACAAGAATTGTTACAGAAACATAACTTTACCAGTCTTATGAGTAAGAAGATAGAGCAGTGGTATAGTTGTTGTCCCCAGTAATACATCTCCAGTCTTTGTGAACAGTTTTCTACCAGTTACTTCTGCTGATCCCGTGTATACATACTGACCATCTAAGTCTGAAAGAGAAGTCAAAGAGAAAATGTATGAGATACTTTCAAATATTTTTTTCACCATTCTTTGACCAAATTTGGACATTCTATATCAACTACATCAAATGAATCACTGACTGTTATATTCAAGTATACTCGTTTTTCAAGAAGTGAATGTAATGGTCAAATCTGACTATAAATATGAAGGCGAGAGACTTGTGAAGAGGAGATATCATCATCCAAAAACAACAGACAGCATTCCACTCCCCATTACCAGGAGACAGCCCAGGTACTTGATGCCACATCTCAAAGGTGACCTCTGCTGTCTCCAGTATCTCGGCCAGGCAGAGGGCGTCACTGTCTTCCTCTGTCCACAGCAGAGGACATGGGAAGTCCATGAAGTAGGAGAACTCTGGAGCAAATGTCCTGGCCACAGTCCTAGTGATACGCTCATCCTGGGGTACAAGGAGTGAGAAGGTTTTGATACAGGATTAGATACACAAATAACGGTTCTTTACTCAATGAACAGAATTCAAGAATGTTTGACATGCAATTACTTAAACAGCACCCAAAATCCCCAACTTGAAATGACAGAAAATATCCCAGGAAAAGATTTATAACTTCACCTCTGCATTCTGTTCCATCAATTACTTTTTCAACATATTTTTCCTTTTATTTTTTGTACTTTAAATGTTTTTCTTAGTGTTAGAATGCAAGAAAGTTTCAAGAAATGCTATCATTATAAACATTTAAGTGATGCTGCTGATTTGATTATTATCAATAAACATAATTTTTCTACCTACTTGTTTTGATAGGAAGGACAGCCTGGTTCTGACATATGCATTAACCCCTACTTCAGCTGGATACTGCATTCCATCATCATGTCTGGCTACAGCCACTGCAGCAGCCTATAAGATATACATGTAACAATAAGGCTTATCTTCTGAAATAGACTAACTCTTACTTCAGCTAGGTACTGTATTCCAGCATCATTTCTAACTATAGTCACAGCAACAGCCTTTGAGAGACCTGTTGTCATTTCTTAATTGACATGACTTAACTGTGCCTTAATAATCAACTGTCAGTACTGGCCAATCGTATGTACAGTAGTTCTTCATGCTGTAGTTTGACTTGGGAACTCTCTCACACTGAACATTTCTGCTATATATAAAGTCCATTATTACATCAGAGATATCATATTACACACACACACACACACACACACACACACACACACACACACACACACACACACACACACACACACACATCACTGTTTATGAAATTGACTTCATTGGCACATTTGTAACCTTAATATAAAGTATGTAAATGTGCCCTAACCTTCAGTCCTGATGCCCTGACAATGCCCACAGAGATGCAGACTTGAGCTGAAGCCACAGCATGACTGGCTGTGCCATATTTCTCCTCTGGGGAAGCCTGTAAGAGGTCAAGAGTCAAGTCTAAAATGTTAGCTATAAACAACACTTGCATGATGGATATTACTACAAAATATATCAAAATCAATGAGTTTACAATCCGTGGGATTAAGAGTTGTAAGTCTAGACTGTGATGTTGTCTACATATTTTTTTTAACTCACTTTTAAAATATTGTTGATTATATGACAAGTTACCTTCAATGTGTTGGTTTTGTAATGAACAGTCACTTCTAGTAACCCAGCTTCTTTTAACTGAAAGAAAAAGATAATAACCCTTACGTACAACCAAGAAAATTGACTTCACAAACCTTTTTTTTTAATAATTCAAAATCTCTTTTCTTACAAATGGGAAACAGAGCTAAGAGACAAAATAATAATGATATCATTATGTCACAGTGTTCTACCCCAGTGACATACCTTTGCCCTCTCCTCAGGTCCAAGGTTGTCCGAGTCTCCTGCCAGTGTGGTCAGGGGCAGAGAGAAGGTTTGGACACTGGGCTCTCCTCTTTTCTGCATGGTCACCATTGCACATAGCTTGGCCAGGGGTAGCACAGCCTGGAAGGCAGAGCAAAAAGCAATATATATAATGTCATTATGTTGTTTGACTCTGGGATAGGAGGGGGGGCACATCAATAAAATTGGAATCATAAAAGACTGTCAGAAACACTGTTGCCAATATGACATGATTGAAGCAATAGTGCATCCGATAAACAGAAATACATATCTGGTAATGACTTTATCTTTTCAATGGGGAAAATTGTGAATTTTACAGATACAATTATCTTTAAATTAGAACATTCTTATCGAGAGGTAGCTACAAAATTGAATGGCAGGCTACTCTGTTGTTCTATTTTATACGGTAAAAGCACCACAGATAAATGTTATGCAAAATACATTTTCAATGATTCCAAAATTATGTATCTGAAAGATTGATCATTTTTCCCCCATGGAAAAGATTGAGCCATTATGTTACTGTAAATCCACCTTACCTTTGCAATGACTTGGTCTCTGACATTGGGATAGTAATATCTGCACCATACTTCAATGGGGACACCACCACCTCCACCCCCTGCTCCTGCACAGGCTGTAAAAGACAGCAAACACACATATATACTACCATAATAATACTATATCAACTAAATATAACAAGGTAATTTGTAACTTTACACATAACAGTAAGCTAATGAGTTAATGATTTTCAAAAGACATCTGAGTCTGACATTTTTTAATTAATAAAACATGTGCACAGATTACATTGAATAATTTGACCAACTTAAATCAATCAAAGCTACACTATTAAAATTGTTTCATTACCAAACTGAGAGTAATACAGTATATTCATTACACTGTGTACCTGTAACCAGCTCTCTCTGGACAGGAGTGCCCTCTGGTAGTAGAATCCGATGTCTGGTCACTTCATGAAACGTAGGGTCTGGTATACACAGGGTGGTGGCTGTCCTAAAAGGTTTCAGTGTAGGCACAGCTGGAAGAGAAAACAGTAAAATTTCACTTTCACTGAAAGTTATCTTAAACTAATAGTTTCAAAATTCTTTTCACAACAGTCAGGTGAAATTCTAATACAAATGTACATATGTTAAAGTGCTCATGAATGGACATAATTATGGTATAAATACCCCCTCAAATGAATTATAACAAGATTGATCTGATATCAAACAAATAGAGATATATATACATAAAGAATAGTATGACAAATTTCATAAAGCTATTGAAAGTCAGTATATAGATATTGCTGACTTACCATATTGTATGGCAGGTACCCCAGGTTGCTTGGTCTGCTGCTGTGCAGGGAAATGGTACTGTATGAAACAATCTGCCTCTCCCCAGATCATGTCATCAAACAACTTCAGGCCTTTCACACCCTCTATCACAAACTCAAACACATGCTCAACTACAATAAGAAAAGAATACCTCTTTAACTTATTGAAGTCACAGAAATATGTACTCTTTACCTCTTCTGTAAAAAAATGGGTTGGTATTAACAGTGGAAACAAGAGACATGTTTTAAGATAATAACATCTAACTAGATGCCTAAAGCTTTGATTTTTTCCGTTTCAATCACCTCAAAAAAAGATCAATTTGACTTAGAGAATATGTTGCGTGTACTGGTAACAACTGCAAGTTGAGTATACTAACATGGAGGCAACTTCACTTACCCAAGACCTCTGTGGGTGGGTAGTCTTCTGGTCTTCTACTGGAGACATCTCCCACAACATGTTGTCTGGAACAGATAAAAACTATCATGTTAAAATTTAATACCAAGTAAAGACTGTCTTTCCAAATGAATAAAAATGTCATTAACTACAAACTACAATTTATGATAATGTTTGAAGCATCTACCATGAAACTAAATAATATTATCTTTCTTTTTTATGTAATATAAGATCAAGTATTTTAAAACAAAAAGAAACATTTCTGCAACTAAAAGGAACGCATTTACTGTGAAAATAATGGAGATGTGTCTTATACCTTTCAAGATAATGCTGTGGTCTCTGAGGCATAGAACTGTCCCCATTCTTATCTAGTTTCAGTCTCTGGAGTGCAGACACCTGGAAAATACAACAAATCAAGGATTGCAGTGGACATGCACCACAGAACACAGGTTGTCATCAAACTGTTTCAAGTAATCACATGGAATTGAATTCTCATCACTGACAATTTTGTATGAAAAACGTTCTGATGATAAGCAAAAAGTTTAGACCTATAGCCTTCCAAATGTAAAACTGTTTTCCAATTTATTATACTACAGATTACAAGTTATGATTTACTATGGAATTCACTTGTAAAAGTTTCATGCTCTTCAGTGGGTGTGCACCAACCAAAATGCAAAAACTGTTTGTCTGCCAGAGTTACAGAGGGCACATTTTGGTCACAGATTTGAACAGATTAAGTGTGGTCCTCTTACCTGTTCTGCAGATCCCACTGCCAGCAGCACCTTCAACTGTCCAAACTGTATTCCTGTGAATGGGTCTTGTACTGGCAGCCAGTTGTCCACAGACACCACTGGGTACTAAATATATAAGCAAGAAGCATCATGTGATTTCTGCACAAAAATCAGTTTCAACATCTTATGAACTATGGAAATCAGTTCAGTTGAAACCACATGTATTACTGCTAAGACTGCAAGAATAATAAGAAAAGAAATGTTTAATTCCATTAAAGACATTTCAAAAGAAACCGTTAAAAATGTTACCATTTTGGCAAATTTTGCATAAAATTATTTGAAATAATAACAGACCTGTGATTTCAGCAGAGCTCTGCAAATCTTCCTGTCTCTAAATGACATGTAAAACTGGTGCAAGGACAGCTTCACAATGCCCACCAACTTGTCATTCTGGGCTCCAGTCTTCTTGTCCCAGACCTCCAGCACCATAAAGTTATTCCTCATCCTCTCCAATAAGTACTGAGTCACTAATACAGGTCCAATCTAAATGGAAACATGACTCTGAATATATGTGCTTTTATGTCTAAAGTTGACTTTTATGAGTATAGCCAACTTAGTATAGCTGTCATTATTATTCATAAGTTGTCATTATTTCATCATACATTTAAAAATTAAGTTTACCTTTGTACCTTTAAGATTCCTTACCTGTACAAAATTGAAGACTGGGTTAAAAGTTCCCCAGCAAACACTAGAAGTCACTGCATCATCACACCAAAACATTCTACACACAAGGTACAGGTTTCTGGTAGCCATATCTCTACCCGTCCAACCTGAAATATAGTAACTTCTATGATGTAAAACTATATTTAATGTATGGCTGCAAGATTCTGAAAACTACACTGTTTTCTAATTTCATATTTTCCTCTCTTACAGTCACATAAAACTGAGCTTTTTTCTTCTGCAAAGAGCTAAGACCCTGTATGTTCCACAGCTGTATATATGCTGAAAGTCCCTTACCTAGCGTACTTGGAGCAGGTGGTTGCTTGGTATTTATGTGTGGGGGAAGCAACCCCTGGAGGTTGATATTTCTTCCCTCTGGTACTAGTAACAGGGTGTGGAGGGTCATAGCCTGTAATTTCAGTGCATTATCATTTACATATATAAAACATAGACAAAAAACTTAATTAAAACTTTTTGAAAAACTATTTTGAAAAAGTAAATTAAAACATAAGCCTAAATAAAAATACTTAAATGTAAACCTTAATTTTAAACCAAATATGTTGCCTAGTGCTCTATTTGATTTTTTTTGTTTTTAACATTTCAAACACAATAAACTATTTCATATTAGAAACAGTAACATGCCTCCATGCTGTCCTGCACTGTAGCTAGTCCTGTGTAGTCTAGAGGCATTTGATACATCTGTTTGGGCTGCATCTGTACTGGTGGAGGCTGTGCAGGGGGTGCTCTGGGAGGCCCTGAGGGGTGGTCCAGGGGCATCTCATGGATGTTGGTGGGTCTGGGCTCTGTTTGGGTGGCATGGGAGCTGACACTGCCTGGTGGCTCTGTTGTATGGGGAGAAGAAATCTTTATTAATCGATATATTCATGTATCAGCAATGAAAATGTACGTGTAACAATTGTGAAACTGTGGTTTTGCGAACTAGCCATCAAGGATGTAACAGATTAAGCAGAATTTTTTTATAAGTATCATCTATAAGTAAAAACAAGTGGCCACTATGAGAGAGCTCATGAAATAAGCAAGTTTAGTAGCTACTAGCAAGACAAGCTTGCTTTTGATTAAGCATCTTTTCTTTCATTTATTAAGAATTCAATGAGTCTGAGACAAATGGATGAATTAATAAAATTTTGTCTTTGNAAAAATGAATGGCAGGCTACTCTGTTGTTCTATTTTATACGGTAAAAGCTCCACAGATAAATGCTATGCAAAAATACATTTTCAATGATTCCGAAATTATGTATCTGAAAGATTGATCATTTTTCCCCCATGGAAAAGATTGAGCCATTATGTTACTGTAAATCCACCTTACCTTTGCAATGACTTGGTCTCTGACATTGGGATAGTAATATCTGCACCATACTTCAATGGGGACACCACCACCTCCACCCCCTGCTCCTGCACAGGCTGTAAAAGACAGCAAACACACATATATACTACCATAATAATACTATATCAACTAAATATAACAAGGTAATTTGTAACCTTACACATAACAGTAAGCTAATGAGTTAATGATTTTCATAAGACATCCGAGTCTGACATTTTTTAATTAATAAAACATGTGCACAGATTACATTGAATAATTTGACCAACTTAAATCAATCAAAGCTACACTATTAAAATTGTTTCATTACCAAACTGAGAGTAATACAGTATATTTTTTAGACTGTGTACCTGTAACCAGCTCTCTCTGGACAGGAGTGCCCTCTGGTAGTAGAATCCGATGTCTGGTCACTTCATGAAACGTAGGGTCTGGTATACACAGGGTGGTGGCTGTCCTGAAAGGTTTCAGTGTAGGCACAGCTGGAAGAGAAAACAGTAAAATTTCACTTTCACTGAAAGTTATCTTAAACTAATAGTTTCAAAATTCTTTTCACAACAGTCAGGTGAAATTCTAATACAAATGTACATATGTTAAAGTGCTCATGAATGGACATAATTATGGTATAAATACCCCCTCAAATGAATTATAACAAGATTGATCTGATATCAAACAAAAATATATATATATATATATATATATATATATATATATATATATATATATATATATATATATATATATATATATATATATATATATATATATATATAAAGAATAGTATGACAAATTTCATATTATTAAAGCTATTGAAAGTCAGTATATTTGATGTGTCTGTAGCTATTGTTGACTTACCATATTGTATGGCAGGTACCCCAGGTTGCTTGGTCTGCTGCTGTGCAGGAAAATGGTACTGTATGAAACAATCTGCCTCTCCCCAGATCATGTCATCAAACAACTTCAGGCCTTTCACACCCTCTATCACAAACTCAAACACATGCTCAACTACATTAAGAGAAAGAATACCTCTTTAATTTGTTGAAGTCACAAAAATGTGTACTCTTTACCTCTTCTGTGTAAAAATGGGTTGGTATTAACAGTGGAAACAAGAGACATGCTTTAAGATAATAACATCTAACCAGGTGCCTAATGCTGTAATTCTTCTCATTTCAATCACCCCAAAACATGATCAACATGACTAAAGAATACTTTGGGTGAACTGGTAACAGCTACAAGTTAAGTATACTGTGTGCTGGTGTGAAGGCAACTATATTTACCCAAGACTTCTGTAGGAGGGTAGTCCTCTGGTCTTCTACTGGAGACATCTCCTACAACATGTTGTCTGGAACAGATAAAAAATTATCACGTTAAGATTTAATGCCAAGTAAAGACTCTCTTTCCAAATGAATAAAAATGTCACAGACTACAAGCAATGATTTACAACGTTTGAAGCATCTACCATGGAACTAAACATCTTTTTAATTGGGTGTAATAATATTGGTTATTTTAGAATGAAAAAAAATTAGCTTTTCTACAAGGAAACACTTATACTATGAAAGTAATGGAGATGTTTCTTGCCTTTCAAGATAATGCTGAGGTCTCTGAGGCACAGAACTGTCCCCATTCTTATCTAGCTTAAGTCTCTGGAGAGCAGACACCTGGAAATACAACATATCAAGGACTGCAATGGATGGCTACATCACAGAACACAGGATTTCATCAGTGCTATGGAATGGAATTTTTGTCATTGACAATTTTGTCTTAGCATACTGATGAAAAGTAAAAAGCTCCCTGACCTATAGCATTTCAAATGTAAATGTGTTTTTACTTTATCATACTTTAGATTATAAGTTTTGATTTACATTGGAATTCATGCATTAAAGTATGATGCCATACAGTGGGCATACACAATCCAAACGGTTCAAATTGGTCGTCTATCCAGGTAAGAGGGCACTTTTGGCCCCTCTTACCTGTTCTGCAGATCCCACTGCCAGCAGCACCTTTAACTGTCCAAACTGTATTGCTGTGAATGGGTCTTGTACTGGCAGCCAGTTGTCCACAGACACCACTGGGTACTGAATATATAACCAAGAATCATCATGTGACTTCTCCACAAAAAAAATAGTTTCAACCTCTTATGAAATGTGGAAATCAAATTAATTGAAACCACGTGTATTACTGCTAAAACTGCAACTAAGTTAAATTCACCAAAAGAATAATATAAAAAGAAATGTTAAATTTTATACATTAAAAAAATATTCAAAATGTAACCTTTTTTTGGTAAATTTTGCTTTAAAATTATTTGAAATAATAACAGACCTGTGATTTCAGCAGAGCTCTGCAAATCTTCCTGTCTCTAAATGACATATAAAACTGGTGCAAGGACAGCTTCACAATGCCCACCAACTTGTCATTCTGGGCTCCAGTCTTCTTGTCCCAGACCTCCAGCACCATAAAGTTGTTCCTCATCCTCTCCAGTAAGTATTGAGTCACTAATACAGGTCCAATCTGAATGGAAACATGACTCTGAATATGTACTTTTATGAGTATATCTGACTTAGTATAGCTATCATAAGCAGGAATAAATAATGTCAGTGTGTGGCAAAATGAAATATGTGCTATTTCCATGTTGCAATCTTCAAGAATTTTAAGAATTTTACATGGTTTTCAGACATGCCAATTCATTAACATTCAGTACAAGTGATGCTAAACTATCATTCTAATGCAATTTTAAGCTTGTAAGTTTTTCATATTAAGGTTGGTCTTTGTAAGATTTCTTACCTGTACAAAATTGAATACTGGGTTAAAAGTTCCCCAGCAAACACTAGAAGTCACTGCATCATCACACCAAAACATTCTACACACTAGGTACAGGTTTCTGGTAGCCATATCTCTACCTGTCCAACCTGAAATATGGTAACTTCTTTGATGTAAAACTATATTAAATGTATGGCTGCAAGATTCTGAAAACTACACTGTTTTCTAATTTCATATTTTCCTCTCTTACAGTCACATAAAACTCACTGTTTTCTAATTACATATTTTCCTCTCTTACAGTCACATAAAACTGAGCTTTTTTCTTCAGCAAAGAGCTAAGACCCTGTATGTTCCACAGCTGTATATATGCTGAAAGTCCCTTACCTAGCGTACTTGGAGCAGGTGGTTGCTTGCCATTCATATGTGGAGGAAGCAACCCCTGGAGATTGATATTTCTTCCCTCTGGTACTAGTAACAGGGTGTGGAGGGTCATAGCCTGTAATTTCAGTGCATTATCATAAACATATATTATATAACATAGACAAAAAACTTAATTAAAACTTTTTGAAAAACTATTTTGAAAAAGTAAATTAAAACATAAGCCTAAATAAAAATACTTAAATGTAAACGTTAATTTTAAACCAAATATGTTGCTTAGTGCTCTATTTGATTTTTTTTTTTTTTTTACATTTCAAACACAATAAATTATTTCATATTAGAAACAGTAACATACCTCCATGCTGTCCTGCACTGTAGCTAGTCCTGTGTAGTCTAGAGGCATTTGATACATCTGTTTGGGCTGCATCTGTACTGGTGGAGGCTGTGTAGGGGGTGCTCTGGGAAGCCCTGAGGGGTGGTCCAGGGGCATCTCATGGATGTTGGTGGGTCTGGGCTCTGTTTGGGTGGCATGGGAGCTGACACTGCCTGGTGGCTCTGTTGTATGGGGAGAAGAAATCTTTATTAATCGATATATTCATGTATCAGCAATGAAAATGTACGTGTAACAATTGTGAAACTGTGGTTTTGCGAACTAGCCATCAAGGATGTAACAGATTAAGCAGAATTTTTTTATAAGTATCATCTATAAGTAAAAACAAGTGGCCACTATGAGAGAGCTCATGAAATAAGCAAGTTTAGTAGCTACTAGCAAGACAAGCTTGCTTTTGATTAAGCATCTTTTCTTTCATTTATTAAGAATTCAATGAGTCTGAGACAAATGGATGAATTAATAAAATTTTGTCTTCGTAAGACCACTAATATAAAAGGAGTTACCCTCACCTGAAGTTTGTGGGTTCACCAGCCCTGGGGGAGGCTGGGGGGTAGGTTTAGGCTGTGGAATGGGAACAATCTTTGGATTTTTCATCTCTGCTAGCTTGGTTTTGGCTAGGGCTGTTGAAAAATCTTTGTGGTCTGATGCTAATTCAACATAAACCTAAGACACAAAGATTGTGAAAAAATTATGTATAAAATCAATGAGCATGATCTTATGATGTTAATCCTAAATCATGATTTTTCCTGCTAAGAGAAATCTCTGTTTCACAAAACGGGGTCAAACCAGACCTTGATTTTCTTCAACTACAGTACCCCTAAATTATGTTTTCCTCTCATAATCTCACCTGTAAAGAGCCTATCACAGGAGCCTTTCCATTAGAACTGGGTGTATTACTGGTAGTAGTTGATGAAAGAGATGATCTTCTGTCCTTAACTTCCAGAGATCTTTCCATATGTAAATTTTCAGACTTAAGTATAGCTTTCAAAGGGATTGAACAAGTTCCTATTAGGTTTGGCTGAAATGTTAAAATATTGCGGTAAACTTACAACATCAATGAGAATGATTTTTTTTTCAAAGAAAGATGTTTTCATGAGGAAGTTCCATTGCATAATTATTCTCTCAAGTTGACATCAAGTTTCACTTAATGTTTACATAAAAAGTTCATAATCAGTTTTTTTGTTGATCTTAATATAATCACATTAGGCCTGGTAACTTAAGAGAAACATTCCCCAAAATTTCTTGAACTCACCACCTTCTGTCCAGCAGATTTGGCAAATACTTTAAACACTAGGAGAGACTTCCACCACTTCTCTACAGCAGTGCCATCAAACAGCACAGGGAACACTGAACGGTGGTTGAACGTCACAACTACAATAATTATATCAGAATTTGTGAACATCAGCATTTACAAAAATATGTATAATTTCAAATATAATGCTATTAAAATATCTGGAGTGGTTCCAATAACTTGCCTTCACATACTAAAATCCACATATTTTCATAAAAACAGAAAGTAGAAGATAATGTACCTCCATCTTTGACTTTCTTAGATGCCACCCTCATAACCTCTGTTGCCATGGTATTTAGGGTATATTTGTCCCTAGAAGTAGCCACCACTGGAAACTGATACTCCACAAAGTAGGTGCTGGGGAGATACAAAATAATATTATCACATTATCAAGGATGGTGAGCAATATTTCATAAGAAAGATGACTACTCCAATAAATTTGAAGTTCAATATACTTTTTGTATGCAAAAAATTCAGTTACTTCTAAAACATTCTTTTCCACATAAAAAAGTTGAAAATAATTATAAAGGAAGAAAATTCTCATCCCTCTGTGTTGGAGGAATTGCAAATATTAACTTTTTTTTTTAGCTAACAAAGTAGCATTCATTTTACAAAAGCATTACAGGCTAAACAAAAAAGACCTATACCCTACCTGGCCCTCTTTGGTTTTGGAGATGGTCTGGGTGGTTTTCCCCTGCTCCTTGGGGCAGATTTCCCTCGAGGAGTGGGTGTGGCACTCTTCTGGTCCAGCTTCAAACTATCAACCACAACTCTTCCAACACTAACTCTACCAAGCAGTGTTAGTCTCTCGACACTAAGACCATCCACTGGGGCATCCTTAGGAAGCTTGGATACTGGGTAGAAAAAAAACATGGTTTATAGGAAGCAGTGATGTCAAATATGTCACCCTTATACTGAAGAAAAAATCTTCTCTTTGAAAAAATCAAAACTTCTTTATGTTGCATCCAATCTATTCACTATTTTTCACATGCCTAATTGTGTTTTGTTGTTTTTTTTCTTTTATTTTGTTTACCAAAAATTGGTTCTAAATATTCAACCTTCAATAATCACCTACAACCCTACAACAACTTTTAAATAGAACATTGACACATGTCAGGCACATACATGCAGAATTCTCCTCAGCATCAGACGGTGTCATATCAAAAGACACTCGGGAGCCCTCAGAGCCCCTGGACGCTACACTCCTGGCATCAGAATCACTCAGGTCACTTCCACTTCTGTCACGGCTGTGAGACCTGGTCCTTTTCTTCAGGGACTTCCTACGCTTTCCTTTGTCCTCAGGGGTCTTCTTAGGTGTAGTGGATTTCCTGGACAGGGTGTTGTTTGTTTGAGGTGGTATGGCTGAACTGGAGCGAGAAGACTGCCTGGATGGTGGTCTCTGAAATAATGCACAAGTTAAAAGCTCTTTACTTTCCCTGTATTCCACAATTCTAAATATTGCAATACATTAAAAAAGGACATAAGAGCCATCCACAATTCATTATTTTTTTAGCTTTCCACTAACTTTGCATATAATTCCCCTCCAACCCATGAAATTTGATTTAACTGCATTTACATCTGATGTAAAACATTTTAGAACACCAATCAAGTCCTTTTTGGTCAAATCTTACAGTCGAGGAATAGTCAAAGACTTCAGCTTATATAAAACTTAATAAAATTGCTCACAATGTTTCCTGGTTCCTCTAATGATGCAACTGAAGGTGGTCTTCTTTTGCGTTTTCTTCCATTGTCTTCTTCATCTGTGCTCACATCTGTTACGCTACTGCTATCCGTGTCCTAGAATACACATAATGAAATGCTATAAAGAATGTATACTGTCTATGATATAATAATGATTTGTGTAATGAAAAGAACGAACTGGTACATTATATGCTTTCAATGTGATAATCTAGTATTCTATTTTGAATAAATACCTTTCCTTTTTCTATAGTTTAGTTTTAATCATTGAAGAATAAATGTATAATCTCACACTAACTGGATTCTTATAGAAGAGTTCATGCAGTATGCTGTCATCATGGACTGGATCTCCTATATCACTGAACACTTCTTCATCACTGGACATACTGTCATCAGAGTGACCACTTAGTCCTCTCAAAGCCTAAAACGAAATAATGGAAATTATTTCTTTGGCATTAAAATAATAATTTCAGACAATTCTCTCAAATATTCATATTATATCTTCAAATGGTTATAAAAACCAAAATAAAGTTTATAATTCTTTTTTACTTGCCTTCAATTCTTTCCCAGTGACATTAGCCCCAAAGACCAAGTCAACAGCCCTGGTTTCTATGTCTGCAGTGTCAGAGTCTGTGGCGTCAATTTCATGTAGGTCTTCACTGCGCTCCAGTATCTCCTTCAACAGACTGCCAGAGGAACTGAACAACAGAAAAGTTGTATTTTTTTTTACATAAAAACACAATGTCTGTTGATTAATATGGATGTAGGACAGAGGTCTGCAGCATTTACCTTATAGATATGTTGCATCAACTCTTGAATTTTCTTCAGAGAGTGTGACAGAAAAATAACATTAAAATTTTTAATTGTTTGATATATTTCTGATGACATGAAACATGGTTCAAGAAGTAACACACGTATGCACACAATGATTTCTGGCAACATTCTACTGGATAAACTAGGACTTAAAATAAGACTTTAAAATTGTATGGAATATATATCCTATTTGACCTGGTGGCACCACTTAGACTAGTTCGGCCCCTGCCAGATGTACAAGCCCCCTTACCCTCTAGACCTAGCACTCTCTGGCACATCCAACACAGCATCTATTTCAGGCACTACTGGAGCCTCTCCTTGGGCTCTGTCCACAGTGGACATCACCATGGCTTCCTTGAGCTTGGAGCCTCTTTCCAGCAGCTCAGAGACCAAATCAGTGCCTGCCTGACTTGAGGGGTTTAACTTAATATTGCCTGTAACAAATTATAGAGTGCTGGGTTGTAGTATTACGTGGAAATATTTCTAGACACAAGCTGTGCAGAGACCAAGTTAGCGCCTGACAGAAACAAAAATTGTCCAGCTAACATTGCCTGTATAATTTCATAAAAATCAAAATCATAATATCAAATTCTATCAAATATTAATCAATTCTAGAAATGAGTGTACCAATGCATCATAATAAAATAATTTAAAAAATGTAACATTCACTGACTTATTTTTAATGTTTTGTTATGAAAAAAATGCATTCTATAAGATGTTACACCTGTCAATCCAGGTCGTGAAATTTCAGAAATGGGAATGTCTCTTGTGGGCTCTTCATGCACTGATGCTCTAGACTCTATATTGTGATAACCAGCTTTGGAAGTGTCAGGTTTATCACCTGGTGATATTCTGTACGTCTGCATATATAATGAAATATAGGTTTAATGAATAACTCAAGTCATATGCAAGTAATATTGCTGTAAAATTTCATTATCTAAACTGAATGAAATACAGAATAAATGTACAATTTAAATTTATTCCTTATGATACTGAAATGTTGTTCTAATAGTTACACTTAAAATTTAGGCTTTCTGACTCATTCTTATGCCAAGGAGTAAATACACTACCTTAAGAGGAGCTGGTGATTTGAAAGGATCTTCAGTTTCACTGGAGCTTGTGGCAGCAAACCTAGGGTGTGGGAGTGGGGCTGTCCTGGGAGGTGCTGCACTCTGGTGGTCTTGATGGAAAGGCAGCTCTGTGCTCATATCTGTGGTAGGGACCGACCCAGAGGAATCATAGGTACCTGTGAAATTAAAATACAATGATATAGCTTAATTTTGAACACTTTTTCATTCAAATAAATTTCATTTTAGTGAACAGGTCCACACTAAGAGTTCTCACATAGGGGAGGGAAGTGTGAACTTAGTTAGTCATGATTAAATACTCGAAGTTGACAAATAGTGTCAGAGCTGACACCTTAACCTTAAGGCCTATGTTATTGGATGAAATGTTTAAGTTTGCCACACTCAGTTTATAACTGGCACTGCTGCTTTACATCACACTAACCTGTAAGAGTTTCCAAGGACAAAGAGACCTGCAACTCTGCTATCTTCTCATCATTCGCAGACATTACGGGAAAGAACCTAATATAAACACAATAAACTTTAAAGTATGATCTTTATATAACAAATCATTGTAAAGATTAAGATTTGATACAGTATTTATATGACTTAAAATTAAAGATCTTACCACAATATTAAAATTACATTGCTTTGTATACAAAAATTCAGTCTTACTTTTGATTCTTGAAGTTGTGGCACTTTGACAACAATGCGTTTTTTCATATGAAAATAAAAACTAACAATCAAGTTATTCTCACCCATTAATGGGCTTAACAGGTGACAGAGTATTAATGTGGTCAATCTGCGCCTGACCAACCAGTGTCATCTCAACACCACTGAGGACTTCCAACACCAGGGGTCCCATATGTAACATTGTTAAGCAAAAAATCCCCTCATACAATGAACAATCAACAAAATTGTCCTTACATATCTCACTGCTTTTAGAGAAACCATTTGACCTCATGAAAACATTTTCACCAATCAAATAACTTGAAAACCATTACAGCCAGAAATTACTGAGGACATTTATATGATGACATATACTATAAAACAAGTGAGTCACAGCAAGTAAGAATGTTCATGAATTTGGTATTTTGCTTGTAAAATGAAAAAAAAAAGATTGTTTCTAAAAAGGATATCTGTAAGGTATGCTGTGAGTTGTTTCGGCCCAGATCTGATGGCATAACGAGCTGTGGTCTTCAGCAGGGTTTTGTCACTCCCTTTAACATTCAGTGGCCTAAAATGTACATAATATGGACTACATAGATCTATACATAACATAAAATCTAATCAATAACTACATATTTTGGTGCAACAACAATTTAAAAGGAAAAATTTTGATAGGTAATTTTTTTAGCAATATAAGAAACCTGCTTTTCACTATGGTCACACAAAGCTTTCCTTGCTTGTTCATTTCAAAAGAAAAGAGGAGTAAAGATATTCCCCAGTATTGTTACCTGAACACTGCCCCCAGTCCCTCCTCTCCCCACCATTTCACTCTAACTTGGCTCAGTTCTGGTGGAGTGGGGAGAAGCCACAGGATCTGGTTGACACTCAGTCTTAGGAAACATCTCAGCTGTCCCTCAACCATAGGAGGCAAACTGGTGTACACTGGAACTTCATCTTCTAATGATGGACCTAAAATTTAAGTAAAAGGCTAAAATATATTAAAAAGCAGGTTTTAAAATTAAATTGGATGGCCACTCCAAAACAACATGCAAGTTTTTGCAACAATGTAAATAAACCCATGCAAACTTCATAATTTATATGATCAGACTTTTCTGTTTGTAGAGCCTACTAGAAGAACTGATGAAATTGCTTTCTAATTCAGTCTACTGTTGACACTGCTTTCAGCACTCTCTCCGCTTCCAGAACTGTAGTCTCTTATTCTTAGGATAAAAATGTGTCAACTAAATTCTAATCCAGTCAAAGCCAATGATTTCAATTCAAACCAAATCAAAATATTCAATAATAACTCATTTAATACTATTGTCATGTATTTAAGAAACTAATCTACATTACACCACATAACTGACACTAACTTCGAACGCAAAAGAAGTAGAATTTGGCACGCCAAAGCACTAGCAGATCTTAGAATTGAAGCCAGAATAATTTTCTGTGCGAAAGTACGGATGACATAAAACATATACATTCAGTACAGGCCAATCTTACCCTGCTTTTTAGGTTTCCTACCAGACCTAGGTTTCTTCTTCGCCATTCTGTTTTATTTTATTAAACCCTATAACGAAGCATACACTATTTGTTCGATATGTCCAAATTCTTGACATTTTGTTTTGGCCGCCATATCTGCTGACGCACCTTCGATAGTTCGCGTCTTGATTTTAGTTTTTTAGTGTTTGGGCAAATATTTCTTTGAAATATAAGCAAACTCCTTGAACTTAATTTTGTTTTTTGGAATTTTAGACTATGAAGTATTTCAGGGACTATTTAGTTTTATTGTGATTGTTAGGACTCCGAGAAACTGCGAGATCAAAACAAATTCAAGATGTCTGCTCTCAGGAAAGATTTGCTGAAAAGCAAATTACCTCCAATGCCACCCCCTGGAGTTGGGTAAGTACAGTGAAAAAACTCACGATGGTGTCTTTTATGCAAATAAAAGCAATGATAGAAGTGTGCCTTACTGCAACTTTTTATTTTGACTTAACAAAAGCAATACTACTCGAAGTCTTTGAAAGGGGGGGGTTAAGCCACTGACTGCTACAAATTTGCGAATTGTTCAAACCAAAAATATACAGGTTTGTGGGGATAACAGAGGCTCAACTGTAAATGAAAAAAATATTTCTGGGAATCAGAAAGGAAATGGTGTCATTATTTAGGTCATATTTTGAAATTGTTTTTTGTTTAAAAGACAAGCTTTCACACTATTTACTTTTGTCATTACAGTGGAATGAAGAGACCCCCTATTAGAAAGCGTGACTACACACCTTTATATTGGGACAAATACTTTGACAAGGAGGAGGATGTGAAAGTTGATGAGAAAAATATATCCTTGCTTATGCTATAAATACATGGCTGTGTTTAAACAATTTTATTAATGTTATATCAATGATATGGCTAAATGAATCGAACTAAATTTCATCTTTGGTTTTACAGACTGCTTCCACTATCTGTTGCTGTTCTGTATTTCATCTTAACTTAGACATACATATTCCGAGTATATACTAGTGGTAATGAAGGACCAGTCGTGTTTCTGTTACATGGTGGAGGGCACTCAGCACTCTCTTGGGCAGTCTTTTCTGTGAGTATGGAAGTTTTTTTCCTAGTGACAGTTTTTAAATGAGATTAAATGAACAAATTAAAAGAAATGTGATAAGAAAAAAAAGACATTCACCAATATACAGTCAGGTTGTGCTGGTGCTGTGTTTGCACTATTTGAATTTCCAGGGTGAATACTTTTTAATGCAAGAACGTGAAAAATCACTGTACTAGTACACAGTCATTACTCTCTATATCTTTTACTCAGTTCTTGCTGCATTAAACACAATTCCTTTTTCATCTTCCAGTCTATCATAACAAGGGAAATGGTATGCCGCTGTGCAGCTGTAGACCTCAGAGGACATGGTGAGTTGTTTACTATTTAAGTTTTGTGTCAGATTATAGGTAATATTATACCCAGGCTTATGAGTCTCTGGTAAATAACCTCTAGTGGAATTATTACAATATTTAACTCATTTTCTTTGTAATAACCATATTTTATTTTTCCATGAGAGGTTTTCGAGCCTGGTGTTTTAGAGCTGAAATAGCATGCATCTATATTAAGGTCGAAAAATCAATTGCATATAATCAAAAACAATTATATAGGCAAATAAAGACTCTCTTGTTAAAGCTGTCTTGTTTTATATAAACATTTTATCAATGTTCCAGGAGACTCCCAGACTGCTGATGAGACAGACCTGTCTGCTGAGACTATGTCCACGTAAGGTTTTACTTCATCAGAGTTATAGAGTAAATAAGACAAGTATTTATATGCATTGAACAAATCCTGTATGCACTGCCATTTTACTTCCACGTGGCATGCTTTTGGGGAATTTTCACTATTCTTGTTTGAAAGATGTAACTGTTGAGATTTGTGTGAGGAGAAATACAGGATAGGAGAGCTTATAAGCTGCTAGGTTTTGTATAAGGGGAAATTAGGGGAAGGGTAGGTGCTAAGGGTAAGAGAAGTATAAGAGGAAATTCAGAAGTGGAAAGGTCAGGTTTTCCCTCTTCTCTTTCACCAGTCTTGTGTCCATCACTACATTTGTTCTCCTTCATCTTTTTCGCAGAGATGTTGGTAACATAATCCAGGCCATGTATGGAGATGACCCTCCTCCCATTATATTGATGGGTCACAGGTAAGAAACATAATATGCTACACTGGGCTTGCAATTTTTTTTTCGTTTAGCCAAATCACCACTTTTTTGTTGATTTGTTATCAAAATGGTTATTATTTGACTAAAACAAGTTAAATCAAGCCCTTTTTCTTTAGCCAATTTAAGTAAGTTTTAGCATTTGGCTAAATTGGCGAGTGTTAGCGCTACCCCAGCTACACCTGTCTTTTTTATCAGTGATGTGTTTGTCTTCAGAGAGTGGCAGTTTTAAAAATTTTAAGCCCAGAATCTTTATATTGACATTGAGTGGATTACTTCTCTCACAATGAAAATATGATGTGAAGTTTGAAAAATATACATAACAGTTAATAAAAACTGAACAAAGGTGCCTTTTCTTATTGGTTTTATGTAGTGATTGTATGTATTATATATATACTTCAGCATGGGAGGTGCTATAGCTGTACACACTGCACACAGAAACCTAGTACCATCACTCATAGGCCTGGTTGTTATAGATGTGGTAGAGGGGACAGCTCTAGAAGCTTTGTCCAGTATGCAGTCCTTCCTAAGGAGCAGGCCTAAAAGTTTTAAATCTCTGGAAGTGGCAATAGAATGGGCGTAAGTACAGCAGTGTACCCGTGTTGATGGTTCCTGTATTGAAATCTGTGTACCTTTGAATTATAGCAATATGATTTACCTGTTCATATCAAGTGCACTTTAGATTTTACTGTGTCTTAAAAGTTGACAATTTTGCATATGTGTCATGTATGTCTTTCTTGATCTGCAATATGTGACTTCTAGAGAGAACAACTGTTAATAAGTACTCTAGTAATTAAGAACCTGATTAAAAAAATAAGTGAGCCCAAGTTTTTTTTTCATGTTATTGAATAGCAATTTAAAGTGTTCTAATTAAATTGTGAAACAAACTCTGCTCCAATTGTTCCAGGGTGAGAGCAGGCCAGATTCGTAATGTAGAATCAGCCAGGGTCTCTATGGTGGGACAGGTGAAAAGGTAAAGTGTGTTGGTGTATATATAAAGTGTAGATGATTACAAGTCCAAACTGTCTCACATTCATGTATAACTGACTCAAGAGTAAATTTGTCAATCTCCCTTACAAACAGTTGAATATGGCTAAAGGTAAAAAGGAAAGCTTCAACTTTTTTTACAATGTGTCTTTTATTTTGGTACGAAGTTTTGTCCTTTTGATCACGTAGGTTGCTTTGGCATTGTCATCCATTCATGTTGCACTGTCAGTTTTCATTTATTTCCCTTAAAATTTTTGAAGATTAGAAACTTGATCAATTTTTTGGATTGAGATACATCTTCATTACAGAGCTGATACAAGTGAAACTGCCTCCTCAGAGTTGGAGCACCTTCATGAACAGCAGCTTACAAACAATGTTGTTAACTCAGATGCCATACTGGAAGAGGAGGAGGAGGAAGATGGGGAGAGCAATCAAGATATAAAGAAACAGAAATCCAATAATGGTGCCCAGTTCACAAAGCCAGAATCTAATGGGGTAACTACTATATTCTTTCACTGGTATTCAACAAGTGTTTCTAGTAGAAGATATAGTTAATGTTTGGATGCTTTCACATTAATAGATAATTTAATTGGTAAAGTCCTCTGATAAATAAATGATTGGTTCCATTTCTACACAGAGCCCAAGTTAATGGACCTCTCATTATGGGGAGACAGACAGAAAGACCACAATATACATTGTATATAATACTTTGCAAAGAAGATTTGCTCTTTTGTTTGAATATAGTTATCTCTTACAAAAGCATCTACTTGAAATTAGCATGGATATGTTTTTTCTTTACAGCCAAGTGCACCACAATATACATGGAGAATAGATCTCACAAAGACAGATAAATTTTGGAAAGGTAAGGGATATTTGCTCAAAATACAAAATCTGGCTTGCTGTCATGCTGCTGTGACTAGCAGATTTTTTTTATAGTCAAACAGATATGGACTCTCAGATGCTTTGTGTTTAAATGCAGTACATAATTTTATCAGAACTTGCATGCATATATCTGTTTTCCAGGCTGGTTCCAAGGTCTTTCAAACCTATTCCTAGAGTGTAATGTGCCAAAGATGCTACTGCTTGCAGGTAAGAAGCTTTCATTGTTAGCAACCAATAAGCATGGCCTAGATTTACAGTGGAACGTGTAAAATATAAATCTTGGAATTAAGACATTTTCACAATAGACTGTAATAAAATAATTTTGATTTGTTTTACGTGTTTTAATATTTTTTGCTTAAGTTTATTGACTGTATGTTACAGAGGCAGAAATCTCACACATCCCTTTTCACACTGTAATGGCTTGGATAACATTTAATAGAAACAGATTTGCAATTGATTACAAAGTTTTTGAATCACTACTATGATATTATTCAGTATATATTGTTTACGAAATTTAAATGATTTTACTCAATTATTCCTTGGTTCTATTTAATCAGTATTGTCATACAATGTTTTCAGGTGTCGACCGTTTAGACAAAGATTTGACAATAGGACAGATGCAAGGTAGGCAGTGGCCTTTATTGTTATCTATACCTTTTCCAAATTACACACCTTAGTCATAATTATGAACTCCTAAATAGTAGTAGTTTTATGGCATCGCGTATGAGAGTTAGTTTCTCCTGTAAAAAATTCCATAAAATGTCTTATTTCAGGTAAATTTTGGATGCAGGTACTACCCCAGTGTGGGCATGCTGTGCATGAGGACTCCCCAGACAAAGTGGCTGATGCCATTGCCTCTTTTATGGACAGGAACAAATTTGCTGCATATAAAGAAGGCTTTAACAGGTGAGAAATGACTATTTATCAAATTTTTAAACAGTTTCAATGAAAAAAGGTATATTGTTAAGAATGTTTTTGTCAGTCCAAGTCTCTCTCTCTCTCTCTCTCTCTCTCTCTCTCTCTCTCTCTCTCTCTCTCTCTCTCTCTCTCATACGTCTGTAAGTTAATTCAGCTGTCTGAAAGTGGAATGACTAGATCTTACAGAATTTATTGGAGTGACTGTATAGTGGCTAGACAATTCTTAGTCAAAGCTTCTCATAGGCTGCAAATGATTTTTATTACATTTGCTCCTTTAAGCTATATCCCTGTTTTAATAATGATTAGAAACAAGTGGTCAAATGGATATGTAAGGAAATGGGCTGCTTATCCCAGGAGAAATTACCAATTTTTGCTGTATGGCTCATAGCTCATGTATTGAGGTTTTAATAAGAGGCTGTAATGTAATTCTTACCACATTAACTGTGACATATTGGTCTTAATAACTTTATGGCCAGTAATATGTGTTATGTTTAGATTCAGTGGCTCAGAAGCCATCACTGAATTGGTTTTTAACCTGTGCTGAATACTGAACAAATGTTGTAAGGCTTTATGGCTCAACAAATAGTTGGCACCTTCTCTCAGAGTATCATGGTAATAATTCCAAAATTTCAAATATCGCATATTTTTATCCTTCAAGAAAAATCTTGTTAGCTGCTGCTAATAGCATACTTTCTGACTTGCATTCCTCTTTTTTTTTTTCACGTAAATAATCTTTCTTAGATTTTGATGGAAAAGCATTGTTTAGTAAAAGATATATAATCAATTTTTTTCTTTCAAAGTTAGTGAGAAATATCTGTCAGTGGTGATATCAGAAAGCATTGTCTTAATGGTATAGTTCAGTACAAATTGGTCATTTGTGTCTGATTGATGTTCTTAAGAAATAACCCAAATAGTGTGCATTATGGCTTCATAGTCCATGGATATTTTGCATTCTACAAAGTGTTAAATTATTGTTGTCTTAACCCAAAGTGAACGAGATTATGGCCTTTTTGTCATTTTCCTTGCTGTAAAGAAAAGGTGCTCTTTGTTAAGTTTTAAAACCTGTCCACATTTGTCGTTCTGTTTTTGTTAAGTTTCATTCAATCTTAAAAAGAAGCAAATGTCAGTCAGTTACACAAGATGCAGATTAATCCATAAAAAGACAAATGTTTGTGTCTCATCCTTTGAGGGTGGGAAATGTAACTTCTGTTTAAAACTCGTTTTAATAATGATGGAGAGTGTAAAAAATATGTGAAGTGTCAAACTCTTATGCTTAGTATCTTGAGAATAACTGATTTTTTCAGCTCCTGGTGCATCTGAAATGATAACAGCACTTCATTTATGTTTGCAAAGATAATATTTTTTATTTCTCTTTTTTATTCCTCTTTTCTATGTTTGAATTTATTACCATGTCAAAACTGTAGCAGCTTACCTTGCATTGTTTGTAGATGGCAAAGATGAGTTTGTTTTATGCTTTGGAAGTGAGTAATCCCTATTCATCTTACACTACAGAGGTAATCAATAAAATGTTTGGCTGGAAAAAAGAACATGCGTGGTGTACTAGAAGTGCTGTTTTACTAGTCATGAGTGGATGACTAATGTATTGATTTAGTTATAATCCTAGAGAGCTGTAACATCTGAGTCTTTATACTTGATCAACAAATTATATACTTTTGATATTACCTTAAGGTTAAGAGATGAATTAATGATTGCAAAATACAGCTTGAAATGGATTTTTATAGTATTTGTGATCCAGTTTGCCTATTGCCTAAGCAGCTTTGTCATATTGTCTCATTGGAAAGACTGTATTGTGTGGGTCTTCCAAGTCATGTTTTAAATTTTGGCCAGTCCAAACTGCATTGATTGAAGCCTCTCACCATCATGGGTTTCTGTGCATGATTGCAATTTTTGACACTGCTGATGATCATTTTTCTAAACACAGCAGAATGTGATTCATTTATTGGTTATCAGTCAATTTCTTGCTTTATTTTGATTAATGTACTGTCCCTTATGCTGTTAGTTAAATGTCTGCATCTGTTTTCACTGTCATATTGTTATGTTGACCAAAGTCAACCTTGCAGACATGGGGATAACTTTGGAGGTACCTAAGCCTATATTTACACGATTTCCATTTTGTTTATTGCATTTTCACATAAACTTAGCCGGTCCAGAGGACCTTCATTATCAGAAATCTTGCTGGTCCTCTGGCTTTTCAGAGGGTCATGATGGGTAAGACTGGCAGTATTCCCATGTCTTACATTGTATCCTTTATATCACAGTATGTTGCACTTTTTGGATTTATTATGAATACACACTTTGCATGTCTGAAAACAATTGTTATTCACTGAAGGATGAAATGTATGATTCAGCTCAAGTATTTTGGCTGTATGACTGAAAACATAAATTATAACAGAATGAGGTCATGATATGATATGAAATAGAGGTTATGTCTCAAATTTATTTCAAGTCAAGTTGTTTTTTTCATTATAGACCCAGTGATTGTATTGTTGCATTTGAAATAGGTTAATATTTCTGTCTGATTGACAATTATGGAAAAGGTCAGGGCTAAAATTACATGGTTCAGGTCCAGAATATTAGTCAATGAACCATGGCAATCTCCTGTGGATTCTGTTGGCCTGTTTGTGTGTATGTGCATAGTGAACACACATACACACTGTTAACAACTGATATGTACTGCAAGAGAAACATAATACTATTTTTTTCAATGGAACTTCCCTAATGCATCATGCAGTAGGGCAAAAATCAACCATTTGCTTCTGAAATTGGACCCCGTTTAATAATTATTCTGCAGAAGTCATATGTTAATGTTTTCAAACTGGATCACTGACAGTGGAACTTGGTAATCAGTACATGTGTTTACAAAGTTTGAAGCATGTTGAAAGCAAAAATAAATAAAAAAAAAACCCAGAGGTCCAAACTGACTGCAGATGGATTTAGATATATGTGTACACTGAAGTTGATTACTCAAACCAATGGAATATGAAGCTTCTTAGATGTATTGATTTAATCAGTATATTGATTATTTACTTCAAAATATTATGAATGTCTTGCAGTTTACCATATTCAAATATGTACTACTAGTTGTACATAGTGTACATGTTATATATAAAAAATATCGTCATTATTGATTAATTTAGCATATGTCATGGAACAAATAATTATTGATTGTTATGAAAGATTTAAAATTTTACTAGTGTATATGGTACCTTGGTAGAAAGATATGACTATGACAATTGTTCCATTTCAGAACTTGGCCATGTTGCTGATCTCCATTCCCCTGTGAACTCCAGCAGATGAACTGACATACTGGTTATGTACCTAACACCCCATTTCCATAGATTAGATCGACCTACTTTAGATCGACCTAACTCCCTGGGGGTTCACGCTAAATAGGTGTCAGCCGGGTGGACACGAAAGTTAATTACCCCCTTACAGCTTGTAGTAGGCGGGACGGACATTTAAGTCGGATTATCTGAAAGTAATCTAGTGAGACTCCCCGCGGGGATAGATCGATCTAAAATCTATGGGAATAGAGCCTAAGACTGTTGTTATGACACAGCTGTGCTGTGCATGTGTTTGAATCCAAAGGATGAAGGACGCACCTGGACTAGTGAACTTTGTGTCAGTGACACTGTAAGACAGTGTGCATGTGCAAAATATACAAGTAACAAATGGGGTGATACTTCTAAAGGTTCTGTGTCAAAGCACCCAAAGACATTGTACACATGTTCACTTTATTGATGAAGTAAATGTATGCACAGAAAAGCATTGAGCTTTTTGATGAAGAAAATGCACATGTGCAAAACCTGTAGGAAATAACAAACATGGTAAAAATACACTGTGTCAGAGACACCCAAAGTTGTTCAACACATGTATACATAATACCCCTTAAAGACATGCTTACGTGGAAAGACTTAATACAGGTTATCTGTTATTGTATAGATATACTGTATCTTCAGGAAGCAAAGTGCCATAGCAGGGGATGTGACTGTAAAATGACAGGATATAGAGAATGTTTAATATTACTTGATGGAGAAGATAATAACATGTGACTTACAGTCAGTTGCGTTGTTAACTCGTTGACTTCATGGAAAGATTAAACAAACACAGGCCATTGTGACTGGAGCTTGTGACCTACTATGACTTGTTTTTAGGACAATGACTTCATGGAAATCATCAACAGTTGGGCTTGTGAGGGTTGTCTACGCCCACTTGCTGAGGACAAATCTGGTGGATTACAACAGAGATCATATTAGAAATGGGCATTTATTAATTGATAATTGATTGCTTACTATAGTAGACCGCAAAATTTTGAGATGAAAATATGGATAAGTTTGTTCATTTATTAGAACTTATTAAAAGCTATGTTTCATAATAATAATAATAATAATAATAATAATAATAATAATAATAATAATAATACCAGTTCCTGCTATAAAGAACAAATGGCCAAGGATATTTATAACAAATAGATGAACATAGAACTATTGAGGCACATTTTTACCTCTCATTCACTTATAGATCATCTCCTGTGATCCTCTGCCTCATATCTTCATTGGTGAAGTCACACATCTCTCCTCAGTAGCTTTGGAATGTGGTTAATACTAAGTTAAAACAAAATTATTTCAAAATAAATGTTTGCTAGAAATGCCTGGAACTAATTATTCCAAATATAATTTAGTTTTTCTTTGTTTAACTTAAGGTGATACATTGAAAAAATAAAATAGGGATAAGCAAGATGTTCGAATTTTTCAAGTTCATTTCAGCAGTTCATGTATTAGGTGATGTCAACAACATAGGATTGTTTCATGAACATGTTAACATAGGTCAAGTGAAGTTTGAAATGGGATGAATTGGTTATTGGGAAGATGTGAAGGAACGAGATTAGAACACTACCTCCCCCATTACATTTTTTAAAAATGTGCTTTTCTGGTATAAAACTTATAATTGCTATGGTATTGGTTCAATTCTCCTGTGAGTCATTCACATTCTGCTCGTGGAAATTGGATGCTAAATTGGAATATCAAGCAATATCTTCTACCTATGGATTTTTACTAGATTGGATTGGATTGATGTACTATCATGGTTTATGTCAAGATCTTGTGATGGAAAATATTGTACTTAAAGGACAATCATCAAGATCTAAATAAAAAGTTGTAGTTTAGATTGAGGTTCGGTGATTGAGTAGCGGTGTCCCCGTAAAACAGTTGAATTGTGTCATTTTACAAAAGAAAAGAGCGGGGAAATCTGATTGGCATCAGTATTTACTTTCTTGATTACTTTTGAGAGTTCTCCCATTTACCCATCAATTAACTGTTCTTACTTTAATGGCTACTTTTTGAAAAATGATACTTGTTTCTGGTTACCAGAATCGTTTTGAAAAAAAACGACACCAGACCAGAAAAAAAAAACAAAAAGCATTTACTTCAGTGCCCCCATAGAGTGGATTTGTTGTTTCCCTTTACTTTCTATTATATTTCCCGTTTTAACGTGGGTTATAATAACATACATTATTCTCTTGCCTATGATGAAGTGTCGAATAAGAACTTTTCCTCATTAGCGAAGGAAACGGCTGTTCAGTTTTAATTGAAAATAAGAACAGCGACGTTGCGTGCGGATGCTATTACAGTAAGGGAGGGACCGTCAGATTTCTCTGTCACATTGTGAAAATGTTCTTGTTTATTTTGTGCATGTTCAGTACCGAAAGACCTCACTACAAAGAAAAATAACAATAGAAAAAACAACTCGTCCCCGACTGCACTTCCAGGAGATAATGTTCCATTTGATTAACACTAATTTTGGTTGCATTTCGTTAATTGATTTTTTCGCTTGAAACGTTGTAGCGTGTTGCTGCAAGGAAATTGTGAACACTTTGAAGTAATTATGGTCGTTATTTGTTTCAAATAGCTAGGGCGTTGACGAAGATCAGGTTTCAGGGAGTTGTGAACTCTGCACGTGCACTTTGAAATGGTGCAATAAAAAGGGAAGTTGTGAGCAATGTCAATGCGAAGATTTTCACAGTATGGAATCGGGCTCAAAAGCGATATCAGACGCCAAGATTAACAAGAAATCCCACCACGTGCAGAAAACATGCATTAATTTAATTTAAATTCAACTCGTCTGGTAACCCACGGTGGTCCATTCTAGTGCCCGGTTTTGGGTAGTTCCCGTCTCAGCACACGTTCAGGTTAAAGTTTCTTTTTCGTTTTTATTCTCTTTTTAGTTTCGATCAAGAGGCAGCGTTACACTAAGCGTGAGCGCGTGTTGAAGTGCACGTGAGTAGCTTCTGATGGGGGGGGGGGGGGAGTAAAAGCATAAACTTTACGAAAACGACTTCTTTATAAAACGTTTATCCCAACTGATATAAAAATGTACAATGTATTTTTACGTACATTAGCAAAGTAAAAACAATATGATTTGATACCAAGCATGTATAGAATGGGACAATCGTCACATGATCATTGTAACGGCTACCTAGCTGATATTTTAATTGTATACTATATACTGTGTATCGCATCCCTTTTGCATTTTCGGTATCACAATCTAACGAGGATGCGTTCAAGATGTAAATAAGAAACATATCCTGATAAAAATGTATTTCAAAACAGAATGCAATGATGTAACCATTAACTGAATACCAGTTTGTGAAAAAAACATTTGCTTAAGACGTTTGGAAACGGAATGTCAAATACACGTCTTCAAAACCTTTATAAATCTGTAATGACAGCATACAATAAAATTTGTCAACTCAAGCGCCTGATGCACGTGTTATGAAGCCGGCAAAAGGTATATAAAAGCATTTTGCAATTTTCTGTTTAACTTGCAGCTTATAACTTGGCAATGAGGCTTTGATGAAAACTTTGCAGGCTTATATGTGAATATATTAACTGGCAATACATTTAACAAAACACTAAAACTGGCAACAAGTGTCCACATATGTTAAACAAACTGCAGATATAAAACATTGCAAAAAGAAATCTGCAAAAACTGCCATTGCAAAATTTAAAGTTCATTATAAGATAAATCCATCTTTCACTTCTTAATAATTTCTTCTCGGCTGATAAGAAAACATCAAAATTTTATTCATGATTTTGACTGGTAATCATCCGGACACGACGTAAAAACCAATCCTGATTTTAAATGTCAAAATTAGTACACATCACAAAATTGTACATTTAGCACCAAACAACATATAGGCTACGTGTATCACTATTGAGGTTTCGGTTCTTAATATTATTAGTAGCTGCCTGGTGGTGCTTAATTCAAACATTGCCTACATGTGAACAGTAACTTATGAATAAAAAAAACCTGCGCTGGCGGACAAAGCTCAAGTTTTCACGTTCATGACGATGGGTACTTTCTTATCTTAGTTCTAATTGCATTGATAAAAAATAAAGATTCATATATCTTTAGCATTTCTCGGGATTGCATTACACCTCAGATTGGAAGTACTATAGTTAACATATAACACGACTTAAACCCTATGGGGTATATTTTCCTCATAGCTCAAGGAATGTAGGAAGGGTTTTGCGTAGTAACAACTAACGTGACATATGGCATAATTCAACTAGATGAATACTAAAAACAAAACTGCCTCTAACACGCTTGATGCTGCACAACCTTTGGAAAGCTATTTACATATATTATATGTTGCACCTGACAACATAATTGCAGAATCCCTTCATTCTAGAGGCTTTGTTGCGTTTCAAATGTTTCTAATTACACGTACAATATTCACAAGATTCAACAGGCTATTTTGTTGCAATATTTCTACAGTGCGGTCTGACAACTTATCTAGTCGTCACAATCTCCGCAGAATAATCCTCTGAGTTTCAGAGGAGCATGCATGTTCTACTGAGCTTTTTTTTTACTATACACAGAGAACTTTATAAGCGTCTTCACCCCCATAAAGTGTCATATCTATGTAGAGATTACTAAATTTCGCCATATCTGACACCAAGAAAATCCTGCTGTCAATTTAAAAAGAAAACACAGCAATACAGATATATATAGGCCTATACTATTTTATACCGTGCCTCACGTGGCTATAGGTATCACAGTGGCGTTGATTAAACCTGTGCTGTTAGTGTTGCCGGTAGCAAACCACATAACGACTTGAAAAAATAACATCACAACTATTTTTGTAAACCAGTTGTCTTGGAAATAGATTGTTTTTGTGGTAGGATTAGACACAGGCCTGAGGGTGGCACTCCCTGAAGTAGGGGCGGTGGTTGTAATACACGTCAGGTCTTTCCCCGTTAAACTTGTGATTGTTCTCCCTTTCAGTTCCTCTGGCATTGCGCAGACGATAGTGGCCTTCGTTGCCATGGGGAGCGTCGAGTCGAGCACCCATTTTAAATCGCAATCGCAGACGATGGGGTTCTTATTTAAA